TGTCTTGCCGGCTAGCCAGCAGCACTACTAAATTATATAGTCTACCTAGCTGCCTTTATATACTATTAAAAAGAAAAGCACAAGGGCATTATCCTTCTAGGTAATTTAGTTAACTTATAAGAAAGTAAACTAGTTAGTATAGGTATTTATATATTAATCTAGTTTAGAGATATATACTAGCCTATTAGTAGTAGGAATAAAGTATATCTAGCCCTATAGGATCCCTTAGCCCTTTATACTTTTCTTAGTAATAAGTATAGTATTAATACTACTGTTTTTCTAGTATATACTAAAGGCTTTAACTTACTAGCTCTAGAGGGCCTAGAAGAGCTAAACTAAGGTAAAAAGGTTATCTAGAAACACATAATATATTACTACTAGCAGTAGGGCAAAAAAGGCTATAACTACCTACTACGTTAGCGTAAGCTAGGCTACCTAGTCTACTAGTTAGCTAGCCAGATATAGAGCTTTAGGAAAAAGCCTATATAGGCCTTCTCTATATATATACTAAAGCCACCAGAGGGAGTACCTAGATTAAGCAAGCACCTATACCTTAAAGCTAGTCAAGATTAGCTTTATTAAGATAGTTATTATCTCCTAGCTCTAGCCTATAAATTAGACTATTACCTTATTAACAGTAAGATTAGAGCTAGCTATATAGAAGTAATCTCTAGTTACCTAGATATAGGCTAACTATTAGTTAACCTTCTAGTATACGTCTAGCATCTAGGCCTTGCTTTAGCCTACTAGCCCTTAGGTTACTAGCCCTTAAGTTAAAAACTTAGAAAGGTTAAATATCTAGAGCTAGGTATAGAGCTATTAAAAGTAGTCTTAGGTTATAAAGCATATATATAGGTATAATAGGTCTTCTCTCTGCTACTAAGTTAACTAATATCTTGTTACTTAAGATTTAAGGTATATACCTATATAAATTAAAATACCTAAGAAGAGATATATTTTATTAGTAGAGGTATTTTACTAGTAATACACTTATAAGCTTCTTTAATAGGGGCTAGCCTTAGATAATAGTGCTATATTAGTCTAATTAACCTACTATTAGATTAACTATAAGGGTATATAACAAAGGAAGAGGTTAACTAGAGTATTAATATCTAATAGGCTATAGACTTTAGGCTACTAGTTTAGCACTTTAAACAGGATAAAGGAGCCTAGAGGGCCTAGCTCTGCTAGAGGCTTATTAGGCCAGATTATTGCGTTATTACACTACTCTAGGCAGTAGTTATCTAGGCAGGCAACAGCAAGGTCCTCTAGTAGCACCTCTACGTAGATAGTGCTATAAATAGAGGTATTAAAGTTAGATATTATAGATTTTAATAAGGATATTAGTAATAATATTAAAATTAGTAGTAGTTACTAATAAAATAGTATTCTAAAACAAGGTATTATTATATATCTCTAAAAGTGAGAGGTAAAAGTAGGGGTAGGTCTACTAAGGGGTTAATAAGGTCTACTTATAATTAAAGGGATAGTAGTTACTTTATAAAGAACCTTGTGTTTACTATAGATTAGCGTAATTATTATAGCTACTATTATACTTATAGTTAACCTAAAATTGCTTATCCTCTGCGGTGGATTTGTCTATAGGGTATTGCGCAGGTGGCTTATAGTAAAGTAGGGTATTTACTACTTTATTGCGCAGTTGCGCGCAGAGGCTGTAGAATATAGCCAGTGGGTTAAGGAGAGCTATAGTGTACTTAGGTATACTATAGCAATAGGTAATAAGGCACTTATAATAATCTTTATCCTTAGGCAAGCTATTGTAGGTAGTTACCTTAACTAGCTTAGTAACCCTTTTAATAAGTAACTTAAGGATTTTAAGCTTATTCTTACTATAGTTTTTATAGGTAATTAAGTTAAATAATATATAGTAAAGCTTAGTAATATAGGCTAAGTGTACCTTATTACCTTTAAATTATTCTTTAAGCTTTACTATTAGAGCGTTAAAATTACCTGCCTATTAGTAGAGGGTAAAAGTATAATACTCTTGTAGTTTACCTTAAAGTATTACTTAAATTACTGCTTTATAGTAGTCTTATGTTATTTCTACCTAGACATAAAGGTTATAGAACAATAGTAATTTTAAGTTAATAGTCTTATACTAGCTACTAGTGTACTTTATAGCCTAGTTATTAAAGTATATCTTTATAAGGTTACTTATTTACTTTAGTATTAGCCTTAACGTTACTATTAATATTACTATAGTTAATAAAAGCTCCTATAGTAGTATAGTAGTTATTATATATAGGCTATTAATTTTAGCTATTATATAAGGTTTTAGCGTTAACAAAGGCAGTAGCAAGGTAAAAGTTAGGTTATTATAGGAGGTCTAATAGGTAATTACTAGTAATAGGCGTACTTTAGCTAGCTTTTTACTATATAAGATTATATTATAACCTCTAATATTCTTAATAAAGTTAAGGTCTTTAAGGTATAGTTTAAAGTTATATAATAATCTTTTAATAATAGTAATTATCTTATTAGTCTAGTAGGCGCCTTCCTCTTGTTAAAGGGTATTAAATATACGTTAAGTAATTAATAAGTGTTTACTATAGTTAACCTATATACTATAATTAACAAGGAAGTTACATAGGCTTATTAGGACCTTCTAGTTAATTACCTTAAAGTTATTTATAGACTATTTACTAAAATCCTTATAGGTGTAGTAAAGTAATTTACTACTAATATAGTTATAGTACTTATAATAACTAATATAAAATATAGTAATAGTGTTAAGCGTAAAAGCTTATTACTTACTTATAAGGTTAGTTAGTAACTTCTTAATATAGTCTTTTCCTTATTACTATAAGAGGATATACTATATAAGGTTAATAAGTATAGTAAATATATTATTAATTACTACTACTTACTGCCTTATATTAAGTAGTATATTATACTTACTATAAACTTCCTCTTGTTGCTTTATAGGCAAAGGTGTAGTAACCTAAGAGCCTTACTTACTTATAAGCTTATTATATTTACTTATCTTAGCTTAGGTCTTTTACTTATAGGCGTAGTATTATTTACTATTGCCCTCTGTTAGCTTAATAACCTCTTAAATATAGGTGTTTCTTCTAGTAGACTAGAAGGCGTATATATTTATTAGAGGGATTACTACTAGTAGTATAAACAGCTAAGGAAAAACACACTCTTGTAGGTAAATAACTTAGGGAAAAACAATAGGCTATTATATTAGCTACTTATTAACGCTATTAGTTAGCAAAAGGAAGAGAAATAATAGGCTATTATATTAGTAACTTATTAACGCTATTAGTTAGTAGAAGAAGTATATATATAGAAAAAAGAAGTTAGTAAGCTAAAGAGCTTATAATAAATAGGATATAGTAAATAATTACTAGTTAGCTATAGGCATATAAAGTAAGGGGTTTTTTATAGTTAAAAGTGCTTCTCTAAAGGCAATAAAGCTTATATAATAGATATAAATTAATAAGGTTTCTACTAGTTAAGGGGACTAGTTATAGATCTATTAATTAACCTATTATAATAGGTAATTAGTATAAACTATTATAGTAAGGGTATTTATAGAGGCGTTTTTTAGTACTTGCCTACTCTAGGTGTATAAATAATTAACTAGTAATAATTACCTCTTCTTGTGGTCCTTACTAATCTATAGTTTAGACAGTAAAGTCAACCTACGTAGTTAACAGTGAAGTTAACTACTAATTAGTGTTAGTAACACTAAGGGATAGGTTAATATAGTTAACTATATATATTAGTAGTAATTAATAAATAATAGGGGTAACTGTAGTTCTCTATTATGCGTAAAGAAAAGAAGGATAATTATTATGGGTTAGTTGGTTGAATAACTAACTTATTGTCTACGAATCCTTGGAGAATCTATGGCTGAATATCTGAGGATTTGCTGGTGATGAGTCATCGGGGTTAACCCGATAACTCCGATATTTATCCGCGATGGTCAACATCGCAACACTAACATTGTTAGTGTTGGCAGTAGATGGGAACCAAGAAACACGCCTCCAAAAGCTATCAAGATATTTCCTTATGTTGCATTTTGTAACGCAACCGTGTATCGGAGGACGGGTGTCACGTGAACATATCTACCAGAATCTCCCACACGTCGCGCCCTACGTAAACCCAACGAGAAGCGCATCCATTCCTCCAAACGAAGGTACTATTCGCGAGACCTGGCACGCACGTCGTGGGGTGCATGAAGTTGAATAGCGTACTAAAAGCCACCTATTTCACATCTAGTAAGACCCATTCATCTCGGCTGCGTCTCAACCCTTTTAGACATTAGTGAAAATAGTCTGCTTGAACCACGGCCAGTACTTGTTCTTAAAGTATTGTCCAAACAACTGTAACACAGCAACAACCTAGTAAACCCCCTCTGTGTTTCGGGTGGATCTGCATAGGATTTGACTATATAGCTGCAACTTGCCTGCTGCAGACCTCGTTATAGTAACAAAGTACTAGTTGTATCCTTATATAACAATCCTAGACAAGAAGACTATTCCAGCTGCCGCTACAGCAGAGGGTTTTGGATTATGTTGTTAATATAGTGCTTTCTTAAAACAGAAGACCACGTTCGCTTAGAACGGAGGGTTTCTAAGGATCTTAACTAACCTTCTCAGTATGTAAAATAATTCCATTGCCTTTAGCTAGGTCTTCAATCAGCAATAGAAGATCGTCTAGTGCAACAGGGAGCTCGGCATCACAATCGAAGCTCACAGGCTCAACAGCCTTTTTCATGACCATCAGGACGACCTGTTTCCGGGGACTAGACTGCCGCCGACGCTTCTTGGTTGGCTCGGCGATGCTGTGGCTGTCATATTATGGCTGAACATGTCAGTTAAGGGACGACCTCGTTACCCCGACGGATCTACATGACGGAACGATACCTACGCGGGAGGGAGAGTCAAAAGACTTCTAATCTGCATCTCACTCCGCCTTGACGTCTTTGCGTAGCAGGGTTTGATCGTTCACCACCCCAGCATCAGAAAATGACGGATAGGTTCTTTAGCTGCTCGATTTGCACAAGACCAAGTGCGCGCACAGTTGGAGCCAGGGGCGATATTTGCCGTAGGCACTTCTGTAGAGTTCACATGTCCTAGGATTTCCACAACTGCAATAATAGGGTAAGCGCCACCATAACATATGGCATAGGACTATACTTACTAAATATGGCACCGTATTCAGAGCCTAGATGACGCAACCTATAAAAGACTCATCATCGACGAAATAGGCCGCCTTCGTGCTCAGATTGACGAGAAGGCGGTGTGCAGACTTGCTTCTAGCCTTAACGATGACAAATGTTGCGTTATCGAACATCCCTCTAAGGCTGTTGGTCTAGATTCTCTTACAGGATGTGCCAACTATCACGCCCGTATCCGCTTTAGTGACGGATCCCCATCCTGGCTTATGTGAGTGCCGCGAGTTTCTGGCTTTGCTGTTAGGCTACCTGCTAGTCTCGTGGGATATCTGATCTGTAGCGAGTGTACAACCCTGAAGTTTCTAGAGAACACCAAAGTACCGGCGCCGCGAGCTTTCTTTTTAGCATCCTGTCTAAAGGTACCAATCATGGTATCAGAGCCTGGCCAAGGAGGCACCACCAAGGTCTGGCTGGGCCTCGCCGAGATCTATGCGGAGTTAAGCAGATCAAGATTGGGATGAATGGCGAAAGGCAGCGCTGAAGCAGTATGAGGGTGATCAACGATTAAAGAGTCTCATAGAACAGTCTTCCGGAAGGAGTTAGCAGTAATTCCCAATGGAATTAGCGGTTGAGACAGAGACTTTGAGTCTGGCTTCTGAATCATGAATCTTGCGATTCCGTTGATATAGGCAGTCAGTGGAGGCTTGCGGAGCTATGGAATCCATAGATGAGGCTGCAAGTATCTAATACCGTACACAGAAACCTCAATGATAAACATTTTAACATTTTACTATCTTTTGAAGAAATCGAAGGTGGCTATCTCAGTTACAAAGGACGCTATTGAAGCATAAAGATCGTAATCAATAACTTCGTACATTTCGTTACCAATACCACCATCAGATCGTTGTTGATACATATCATGGTCAGATGTTTCAAACCTCACCCTGAACTCCGACCAGAAGGTTTTACTATCCGAGCTAAGAGGAGGCGGTGTTATAGTAAATGTAAATGTCTTTGATCTTGAAGTCGGCCTGGGTGGCAGGAGGGCCGGCGCTCCAGCCCTTGTCGCCGTTGGACCAGTTGTTGAAGACCCAGGGACCGGTAGCACTGGGAACATCGCTAGTGGTGTTCCAGATTTCCGTGCCGTCAACGAACCACCGAACACGACCGGGAGTCCAGTCCAGGCGATACTCGTGCTCGGTCGTAGTAGGGCTACCAGGTGGCGGAAAGGACTGGGACGTCGCGACGCCGTTCCGGTCGGCATCCTGGTTGGTGAACCAGACTTGGCGGGTGCCCTGGTTGCTCAGGGACGACGCATCAGAAAGCCATTCAATATCCGTCTCCTGGGTGTCGTTTTTGTAGAAGAACATGCCTGGTTCGTTGTCAGAATATTGTTACTCAATAACTTTGACCACACGTTCAGGGATATTCTGCTTACCGTTGCAGACACCAGCGGGCTCGCTAAAGATAGCGACAGTACGAACGGAAGCGTACTTCATGTTACTAATGGTTGTGGTTACTTCAGCGGAGCTGTAAGGCATTGCAGTCTGGCCACCGGGGACCTTCAAGTTCATGTAGCCTCCGCCAACTACGACGTTAGAGGCGTCGAACTTGTGAGTGTCGCCAATAGGCCAGGTGCTAGCATACAAGCCGTCGGGGAGGCTGGTTTTGCCCTTGAAGTCGAAGATCACTCGGTTGGCATAACCGTAACCTCCAACGACGTATTGACCATTGGTCAGAGAAGGCTGGGGCGAGCGGACTAAGGCAAACGCCGGAGTGGCTGAGAGGATTGCAGATGTGAAGAATGAGGGCCGCATGGTGAATATTGTATGATAATCTCTTATGATAATCTCAGCTTGGTTTTTTGGATGTCTGATATGAAGTGAATGGTTCATAAATCTCTTATAGCATTGCGAGGAAGGGTATTACTTATAAATCTCCATCTTCTCACCATTCGTATACATCGCAAGACCTTTCAGAAGCGGTACCCTACACACGTTACAGCTCCAAGATCGATACCAAGGGAGCACTGTTGCCTGGACCTCGTTTCGCTGCACCCTCTCCAACTTCCTGCGTCATGGATCTAGACCTGGCTTACGGGATGCAAGGGGTTACGAGGAGGCGAATGTCACCCTTTCGACTTGCAGATGGAAAGGGGGGGGGGGGGGGGGGGGGGGGCACGCAGCCCTGCTCAAGGGACGAAAACTGATCGTGAACAGGCCCATTGTGACGTGCGTGTCCCCAACCACCGGGTGGCATTTCCGACTATAGGACCTTGGGTTACCCTTGAAAATCCTTGAGTAGCCAAGGCCTAGGATTCCAAGGGTCTTCGATGGTAGTATTTTAAGTTTACGGACGTGGCGCTGTCATGCGAACACTGAGACTGTGGCCTCCCTTGGCTGGATCGACACTAGAATTCCACCCATTACCGGCTTCCAGGAAGAAAGCCCTCGTGGAGGCTTACCCACCGCAAAAACACCAGAAGACTCGACATCATGCGAGACTATGAGGCAAGACATTCTACACGGTCTAGATGCAATGCCGATGGGCGCCGGATGATGAACTACTGCACGAGAATGGGCCTGCATGCCATCGAAGGATCCCGCCGTGCGCGCAGGATGGCGATGTTGCAGCGTCTGACCGGATCCCTGTCATCGATGTTGAACTGCGGCGGGAGCTGCCTTGGCGGATGGTCCCGACTCCGCTGTCGGGAGCCCCATGCATTCGCCGACTGGCCACTTCTGACTTGTGGTTTCTCACGTCAGAGTAGGTAGTCACTGGAACGCATCTGACCACCAGGAAGCTCACCGGTCATCAATACTCGAAGCTAAGTAGCGTTCGCCTCCAAAGGGGACTGCACATGGGTGGGTTCAGGGCTGATGGTGACATGCGTGTGTGTGTGTGGGTGTGTTCATCTGATCGTACCGCACCCAAGAACTTTTGCTAATGGGCTACGAAGCTTGCGATCCTTGAGGGTAGCACTCGCTTCCGAAATGTGGGTTCTCGCCCCGGTGCCACCGACTGACGCCAAGTCAGGATGTGAGTCGTGGTGGAGGATCTGGCCAGATGTAGTCTGTCTGCCTAGCGTTGAAGGCTGCGTGATGAGGGGGGTACGATGCACATGTAACTTCATATATTGGCTATATGGGCTGGTCCTTGTGAGGCGCGCGGGCTATTCAGTTTTCGGAATCCTCATATGACATGTAGTTTCTGGAGGATTCATTGCGTAGCGGAGGTTCCGCCCAAGACAAGAGAAAGAAGAAAACATACAAAACCAATAACCTGTCATAGTCAAACAATGAAACGTTGCACTTTTGCCAAGCCAGTTCACTTCCTGTCAGCTATAGTAGAGGATGTTTGTGAAATTCAAATGTCCAGGCGTCAACTTCTTTGCTCTAAGTCTTAACTATTGACGAGAAACAAATGACGCTCTAGAGGTTGAGCCCAACTCGATCTGGGTCAACTTCTCAACCCTTCTGTCCGAGGAGAAACCGGATGGTCCGAGCCTTGTCCCATTCATGTTGCATCTACATGCTCAGCCTCTGATCGCATAGACCCCCTCGCCAGATGACTCGTGGCGACGGTGTTCCTCTTCCTCCCCTTTCCTCTACGCTTGATGGGTCTGCAAACTGGGGACACCATAGTAGCGCCAGATGCTTCTTCGGAGACAATATCCAGGGGCTCATCAATGAATGTGGCGTGCGAGGCGGTGTTGGAAGCCCAGTTTGCAACTCGATGGTGGAGGTCGCCAGACGCTTCTTCGGAGATCGTATCCAGGGGCTCCTCAATGAGTGTGGCGTGCGAGGCGGTGTTGGAAGCCCAGTGTGCAACTCGCTGGTGGAGGTCGCCAGACGCTTCTTCGGAGATCGTATCCAGGGGCTCCTCAATGAGAGTTGTGTGCGAAGCGGTGTTGGAAGCCCAGTCTGCAACTCGACGGGAGAGGTCATTGTGACCTGGGGTGGGAGGTGTCGAAACATGGGTGCTTTGCGCAGCACTCCGGCTCCTCTCTGCGCCTTCGCGAGTCAAGCAGCTTGACGGGTCTGAGTGAGGCTCGTCTGTGGTAATAGCGCTACGCAAAGGGCTGGGTGCTCTGCTTCCCTGAACCGATTTTGACTGGCTTGGAAGAGGCTTCCGCTTGACGATGACTACAGGCTTGTCCTTGGTCGAGGGACCGGGAGGAATTGAAACGACGCGAGTCCGCGATCCGCAGTATCCGCAACGGTCGGTGAAGGCCACACGAGCAGCCATCTCTGCTAAAGTGTATCGGTTCTCGGTGTGGAGCGTGTTGGTCCCGGTGCGATACATTACAGACGAGTCTGTCAACGTGGTGCTCCTCGCAGCGGAAGCTGGCGGGGAAACGGGTCTGATTCCGGAAGAGCTTTCTGCCCGGATTTTGTAGACCCTGGCTTGGCCAAGGTGTACTCCGGTCCTGGTATCGTGGCCCATCTTGGCCAATGGAGTTTTGGAGTTGTCGTAGGGCGAGAGTAGCCTGTCGTTGTTGTTGTTGTGGCAGAACGTGGCGGGCTGTTCAAGCCGACCTTCATCATGCATCGACACAAGCCCTCGGAGCGCTGCACGTAGACCCATTATTGCTGTCTTGTTGGCGTTGGCAAAGAGCGAGATGAGGCCAGAAGAGGTCAAGCAGGTATCTGAAAATAGAGGAATAAAGATGGGAGCTTCTAGGCTTGTTGCTGTTGATTCGGTCTTCAGCCAAGCAGTGCCAGGAAGAAATTTTTGGAAGAGAAGGACGGCATCATAGATGGACCTGTTTATAAACTCTTCATTTCGGAGATAGGTAGAGTGATTCGCAGACGTGGGCCAAAGTCAGTATGTATTGAGTTCACGCCGGGGCTTGATATAACGTTGTGGTTGATCATAGATACGGACTGAACCGCTGGCCCTCGTTACTTTAACTTTATAGTCAACCAATCATTCATTGGACGGCAGTCCCGGAAACCTGAACGCCCGCATCATGTCACCAATGCCGCTCATAGAGAGCCCATTGACTCGAGCCTGGATTTCTTGCTACCTTGGTTCAGCCACGAAGTGAAATAAAAGATGCGGTGATTCACCGCCCGGTCAATTACTGAATGCAATTATCCCGTGCATTGCTGGTAGTATCGAACAGTGAGGCCCGGGTTTCCACGTCTTTGAACTGGATAGATGCTTCGGTGTGTCCTGGCCAGGCGACGAAGACGTATCTAATGGTGACACACACCCACCAGTTTCGTTGCCTCAAAGCTTTGCACCGGCCTCACGCTTCACCAATGCTCTAAGGTCTTTACGGAGAATCTTGCCGGACGGGCTTTTGGGAATGGCATCGATGAAGACGACGCCTCCACGCAGCTTCTTGTAGCTCGCAACCTGATCGGCCACCCACTTTTGGATCTCCTCGGCAGAAATCTGCGTCTTGTCGGCAACGACGTATGCCCTATTGCAGTGGTTAGTTGGCACGTGTGATGCCGTGGGACACACAGTAATCTTTTCTCCGTACCTTGGAAGCTCGGTGCCTTCGCCGTCCACGCCGATGACTGCAGCATCCTGAATCTTGGGATGCGTGACCAGCAGAGCCTCGAGCTCGGCCGGGGCCACTTGGATGCCCTTGTACTTTATGAGCTCCTAGGCCGTATTAGTCTACACAGGATCTTTCGCCGCCACGACACGACGGACAAACCTTTTTGCGGTCCACAAAGTAGAACTTGCCGTCCTTGAAAAGTAGTCTGTCGCCGGTGCAGAACCAGCCGTCCACAAAAGCCTCCTGATTTGCCTTGTCGTTCTTGTAATACCCTTTCGTGATGATCGGGCCGCGACACAACATCTCGCCGGGCTGCCCGACCTCGACGTCTCTGCCCTCGTCGTCGACCAGCCGGGCCTCGCAGTTGGCCACGATCATCGAGACGCTGCCGGTGTCGTCCGTGAGGTGGCGGGGCAGGAGCGTGAACCCGGCCGTCGTCTCGCTGAGGCCCCATGTCTGGGCGAGGAGCGCCTTGCCCCGGCCCATCTTCTTCTGCGCCTCCACCTGGGTCTCCCTGCCTAGCGCGGCGCCCCCCGTCAGCGCGAAGTCGACGCTGTCGAGGTGGTCCTTGACGAGCGGGGATTTTGCGATCATGAGGTAGATGGGCGGCACGCTAAACATGTAGTTGACCTTGTACTTCTTGATGTTCTCGATGAAGTCGACAAAGTTGAACTTCTTCATCCAGTAGACCACCCCTCCCATATACGTCTGGTTGACGATGTAGGCCTGGAGGCCGGAGATGTGGGCCGCGGGCAGGTGGCCGAGCGTGATGAACTTCATCCCCGGCCCGTCCTTGTGATAGTACTTTATCGTCGGCGTGGTGATGCACAAGGCTTGTGCGATCATGTTGGCGTGGGAAATCTTGACCGCCTTGGGCATGCCTGTGGTGCCGCTGCTGTAGATGAAGCACCCGACGGTGTTCTCCAGGTTCGTCCGGTCCGTGACGCGTTCCCAGTCGAGCTCCTCCCCCGACAGGGATAGCTGCTTGTCGGACTTTGCCTCGAACAGCTGGAACTCTTGGCTGTCGCCAATGTAGAGGATGCAGTCGTCTGGCAAACCGGCTGACGTGCCCCCAGTGACGGCGAGGGCTTTGATGTCGGGGCTGCAGATCACCATCTTGCTCTCCGTCAGGTTAATCTGCCGGGCAACTTCAGACGGGGAAGACGACGGGGAGGAAGAGGCGACGGAGCCCCCCGCAGCCATGATGCCGTAGAAGACGACCGGGGCCATGTAATGGCCGGTGAAGATGACTTGGACGACGTCGCCGTTGCGGATGTTGTAGCGGTGCCGCAGGGTGTGGGCTAGCTGTTTCACGGCCTTCACGAGACGTGACTTTGTGATGGACCGAGACGGGTCAGCCGCGTCGACGTGGAGGATTGTGTCATCACGAAGTCTCTCGTTGGGTAAGTCTGTAGACATCGGTCAGCGTCGCCGATTAATAAGTTTGCGGCGAGAAACGGTTTGTGAGACTATTCGCTCACCGAAGAGGAACGTAAGCAGGTCAACGTTGGGGATGTCGATGGTATCGGGAGACCGGTAGATGGTCTGGCCATCCCGCTTCTCAACAATCGTGGCCATGCTGGGTGTTGTTGATGATGATGAAGCTAGGTGCAAGCGTCAATGGGTAGGCGAATGTCTTTACACGATCCTATTCGCCAGCTGGACTCTGGGGTATAGGCCGAAAACGGGACTGCTTCAATCGCAATCCCGACTGTGTCCGACAGGGAGAGAACACGTTTGATCGCAGAAGGGCAAGCCGGACTATCACTGTAGCGAGCAGACGGGGCTGGAGGTGGCTGACCGGTTCCTGGGGAGATTAATGCACGCGGAATGAGTGACGGCTAAGAAGACGAATAGTTCGAGATGAAAGGAGTTGGAAAGGATTCAAGTTTTGGTGGGTTTCGCTAGCTTTTCCCCCGCATCGTGTGTTGGTTCGTTTATCACGATTCCGCCGCCCGCACCATGCAACCGAAGCAAGCCGCTCTCCCCGCCCCTGCATCGACCTGCTCAGTAGCCACTACTATTATTACCTCCTGTGGCCAAGGTAATTGTGCCCGCACGGTCTACGTGTCAAGCTCCCATGGCCCACTATCTGGTTGGGGTAACCCTTCCAGTAGCGTCTTTTCTGAGCAGGTTGGTCGCTGGGCTGCGGGGTCTCTCGTTCTTTGGGTGAAGCAATGTCTCTGGTTACTGGAGACTGGAGAGTCATTGATGGTGGATGTGCAGGGGGATCCCCGTCTCACTAAGCCATGAACCCAGATATGTGTCGGTCTGGCTTTGCGTGAAACTCGTCAGGCCAAAAGGAGGCCCAGACGGTCTGTGCTTTGAGTCCCATTTTAGCTTTCATCAGGCCTCGGACTAACTCTTACTGCCACCCGTGCCTCTTGCATGGGATTCAAGATCCGGGGGAATCACTGAGATCAGATTTTGGAGGATGCAACACGTCAGGTAGCTCTGTTCGACAAGTGAAAACGATGCTGATGTTTTAATAGCGACAAACAGTAAAGTCCGAGAATGTACAGGCCAGCCTGACGACCAACAACCGTGAGGCTGCCTGTGGATGCATATATGTATGCATCGGTCTGGGTTAATGTTGCTTCACCGCCTCCCAAATGTGCCCCTACAGGCATCATTCCCGCCTAATGTCTTTTTAACCTCCTTTTCCCACCTGAGCTACTGTAATGGCTTAGCTATCACCTCTGAAATTCGCGCCCTGCTATGTCCGAAAGCCCTCCAAGACCAAACTCGGCTCTCAACACGCAAGACGGTCACAACAATAAAATTCCATCTTTGAACCAAAAGGGCAAGTTTGTTGCAATTGGCTTAACATCTTACGTCAAACGCTTATCTAATAGTACTATCATCAAGACAGCCTAGCCTGGTAGCAACTAGGTACACCTAGTAGTAGCACTACAAAATCACTACAGAAGCTAATTTCCTTTTAGGTAATCGTCTTTGTCTTAAAATCATCAACTTTTATAGATCCTCTGTTGACAACTCTTACACTAAGATTAGCCCTAGCACTTGATATGTAGCCTCCACACTCCCCACACTAGACCGCTCTTTCTAGTGAACACTAACAGTTCAAACTGACCTTTTTAGTTTAGACTTGACGATATACTATATTATAACAGGTAAAGCTGTATTTAAGACATTCTAGAGCGAAGACGTGTAAAAGATGTACTGCAAAAAGGAATTCCCTGACTTGACTGGCATATTGCATGCAGACATAACCCGAATCTGCTAGTCTCAGGATTTTGAATCTGTGGACGGGCTGGTCCCGTTCCTGAATGTTTGAACAGAGAATTGGGACCATGTAACTTGCCAGTTCAAGCAGAATGGGCATGAGATCTGGGATGTATTGTATAATCTACAGTGGCTTTCCACGTTAATAATGACAATCCTAGAATTAGAAAACACAACGTTGTTAATGCGCAGGTTGCAGTGCATAATGCCAAGTAGGTGAAGTGACTTAAGCCTAGATATCAGCTACAGGATCTAGTCTAGGTAGGTAGATAGGGCGTAAACTTGTTCAAGAACGAGATACTGTGGTTTAAACTTCTTCAAGAAAAGCTTTCCATCTGGCAACTTCCCGAGAAACTGGATCATGTGGCCAGACACAGGCCTTCCTCGACAAGACTCTCCCTGGCACTTGAGTAATCAGGTTTCGGACTTCGCTCTCATATCTACTACTATGGTCATATAAACCTCAATCATCATGAAATATTCCATAAGGCATACGCTCTAGATTCCAGTAATCCGATTACGCACATTTCTCTTGTTCTTTGTAGCTCCATTTGAATCCAGTTGCATAGGATAACGGTGTTCGTTCGCCGTAGTCCCTCAGAGTAGGATTGGCTCCCGCTTCCAGTAATGCGGAGACGGAAGCGATGTTAAGTTGCTCGGCGGCATGAGGGAGTGGCGTTCGACCTGAGGTGTCTTGGGAATCTATCTCGACCTTATTAGTGCCGAGAAGAAGTTTAATGGTCTCCGCGATAGGATCAGCTGGTTTGTCCCCGGAACCCACCACATCCTTACAATAGCTGTGCAACCAACGCCCGGTCGCAGCATATGAGAGTGGCGTTCGGCCCAGGTTATCCTTCAAATCCGCCTCGACCCGATGACTGCCCAGAAGAAGTTTGATAGTATTGGCTGCAGCTCCGCCTGCAGCATGTGAGAGCGGTGTTCTTCCTGAGTAATCTTTACAGTCTAGCTCGGCGGTGCTGTTTTCGAAGAGAGACTTGAAGATCGGTACATCATCATAACTTGCAAGCCTTGAGAGAGTTGTTCGACCGTTGTTATCTCTCGAATTCGGTTCGACCATACCGGTCTCAACTAAAAGCCTGCCATCCTTCGTGCTGCGATGACTGTCATAAGATAGGACAGCTATGAGTGGCGTTCGACCGATGGCATCTTTCGAGTTCACATCAACTTTCCCGGCCCTGAGAAAAAGCCGGAAAATGTCTGTAGACCAGGTATCATATGTAATATATGAGAATGGCGTTTCACCCCATCGATTTTTGTAATTCGCCTCGACCTGATCAGACTCAAGAAGAAGCTGAATAACAGCCTGGTGTAGCCCTCTCACTGCATGCCATAATGGCGTCCAGCCATCCTCAGACTGGTGGTTGATATCGACCCTACCAGTCTCAAGAAGCATCTTGACAATAGACTCGTGTCCACATTCGCAAGCATGACAGAAAGGTGTTCGGCCATTTCTATCTGCAATGTCAGGATCAACGCGGCCAGTATCAAGAAGCATCTTGACAATAGTCTCGTGTCCGTCTTTGGCAGCATGCGCTAGGGGTGTCATGCCGTCTTCGTCCTTGTGGTCCATGTTTACCTTGCTACTCTTCAAAAGAAGCTGGACTATCATCAATAACCCTTTCTCGGCGGCGTATGATAGTGGCGTCGTGAGTCGAGGCCCCTCTTCAGCATTCACGTCAACCAATCCACGCTCGATAACGAGAGCAATAATCATTTCATGTCCAAGGCCTAGAACATTAGAAAAAATGCTTCTTCTTGCCGAGAATATGAACTGGCCTCTTGATTTGTAGAGTTTAGTGTTTTGCTGGTTGTATTGCATTCCAAGATCAATGAGTGCTAAGCTGTTAGGGTATGCCTCCTTGAAGGCAACCAGGAATGCGTGTACCGTCTCGAAACCCCCAGTGCCGAAAGCTGCAAATATCGGAGCTGCATATCTCTCAGCTTCGATTTCGAAGCATGCTAATTTTGAGCGCTGGATTCTGATGAGGTTGGCTCTGTTTTTGCTCAGCTAGGATGTACAAGAGGCTGACGTGAGCTTTGTGTCGCCAGATTTCGTGCTCTTCTTCCAAAAGATTGCTCAGCGCTGTCCAACTGGCAAGATCGAATGTTTGCAGAAAATCAACCTGGCTGACTCCTCATGCTTCTGCTAGGTCCGAATGGTACAAGACCTGCTGCGTCGCATATCGCACAAAAGGCAACCTTGCCTCCGCTGATTTACGGACTTCATCGGCGTTTTCGTTAACGATCTCAGGGAGATCTTTGCCAATATCGCAAAGTACAGTTGTTCTGGGCTGAGCGGATCCTCTGCGAAGAGCACCCATTGAATACATAGAAGCAACTCATCTCTACAGTGACGATCGCGGATGAGGATGTCGCGAAACAGGGTGTTGAGGTCACCGGGGAGTTCCCGAAGTCTTTGTCGAAGTCGATGCAGGCGACCGCCGTCGTATTCCTTGTTTAGAATGCCCACAACGAGGACCACCCACATGAAAACCCCAGATGCCTTTTCTTGGAGCTCATGGCGGACCTGTTGGGCTATCTTGCTGGTTCCTATCCTCAGCTCACTAAGCACATACTTGACAATGTCATCTTTGTGCCCTTCCTGTCCTTCTAGGATGAGGCTTGCTGCCTTTGAAATGGTGATGTGAGGGTAATGTCTGCTTGAGAAGCAGACTTGGAAGCCGATATCCATTGCCGTGGTGTTTTCGCTAACGCTCTCAAAAAACGAGACCATGTCCCGGATCTGATCTTCATCGCATTCATCCAACGCGTCAATGAAGCATGTTACAGATTCATCTTTGAGGTTCCGGAATACCTCTTCGAGCAGCTCCTTGAGGAGCTCGATGGTCCACTCACGGAGCCTAGTATTTCGTTTCATTAGAGCATGGAAGTCTAAGGCCGTCCGAAGTTGAGGAAGGGCCTCGATGAGTTGAAAAAGCAGTGATCGGTACATCCCTGTTGTCGACTTTTGAAGTTGCTCGCCTCGTGCGTTGAAGAAGAATGTGATCAGGGTGCCCTTTTTCATTGTCTTCCGATAATTAATTTTCGGAGACAGACTTCATCAACGTGGATTTTCTCGTGCCTGGCTTTCCCTTGATCCATAAGAACCCATAATGATCTTTGCGTTTTGTATGGTCCAGCCAGTCAAGGTACTCGGAACTCTTCAGCACTCACTTGCAGGTCTTAGAGTGCGCCTTTTTGATTGTCATTTGCCGGGCATCAATCTGGTCGAATCTCAATGAATTCAACAGCTTCTCCCACTGCTCGTCGCTTAGCCTTTCTCTATCAGCTGCAGCCTTTGGGTCTTGAAACTCAGTTGAGGTAAGAACGGGAGACGAAGAACACAGAGGAGTGAGCTCGTAAAGAAGATCTTTCACATACGTAGCAGCAGTCATTGCTGCATATCCTTGCCATTCCTTGTTCTTGTGGGAATCCGAGTAATCGCATATGCCGCGAACAACTAAGCAAGGGAAGTAATTGCTCAATCCTGCAGCTTCCATTTCAAGGCATAAGACGTGATATTTGGCCGCAAGTTTATCCCGAGTCTCAGCGTTCTTCATGACCTGATTGGCTGAAGCTATTGTGCCATAATGGACAACCAACTTGTCTCCGTTTCGTGGAGATCTCTCGACGAGGTTTGAGGGATCATGCCGACAAGCTGCAGCGCAGGTTTCTGTAGAGTTCCCAGGGTGAACAAAAGTGCTTTTGTACAGCTTGTCGCTGTCTGAACTTGGTCGGGCAAAGTGGCTCCTCAAACTCGGCTTATTATGAAGAAGACCGTTGATCGTCTCTTCGATTTTGTGCCCATCTCTCATATGCCGAGCCCGAAGTCCAACGGCTGCCGCACGCAAGCGCTGAGGTGGCTGATCTAAGACGCCAATTTGTTGGAAGCTCTGACCCTGTATATCTTTCCCAAAGTCGTATTGAAACACACTGCTCTTCCCATTATGAACAGTACTGACGACGACATCCCCAAGGCGGATGTCATTGTTTCGAGTCGGAGCGCCACCGCCGATTCCCACCATCAATCGGATCCCAATATTGGGAAAGGTGCGTTCCATATTCGCTGCAGTCGTTGCAGCGGCTGCAATTCCCATCTCCGCTAAGACGGTCATCACAACGTCATGTGACCCAATTCTGCCGAATGCGTAGTAGTTCCTGTCACTCGAGTTTGGGTGCAGATCATGTGGATACGCATGCTCTTCGTCCAAAAGCGCCTGCGCCGCGGCGTATTCCGTGGGTATGGCGCATATCCAACCCACAGTATATTCATGATAGGCGAGCTTGGGTCTTGCTTCCTGTCCGAGTTGGCGTCGTTTGCAAGATGGCATATATTGTTCATTGTAAGTGACCTCGGGAGGGTGCTTTCTCTTCGGCTCCATCAAGGCATCCAATAGGGGTAGTAACGTCGTCGCAGAAATTGGAAGCCTCAAATCGGTGCGGAGACTCGATCAGGCTATAGGTAGGCAGTCAGCGTCATCCCAAGCATCAAACATCCCGCTGGGGACCTACAAAGTCGTTGAGAGAAGCGGTAGATGTGATTCGTGGCTATGGCGAACATCTAGCAGTGGGAGCCTTGCAGCAAGGCTGGATGCTTTCTAGGAGCGTATGTACGGGCAGAGAGCAGCATATGTCGCAAGGAAGAAGGGAACAGAAAGGCTTCAGCTCAAGCTTGTGGCATGTCGAGGCCGCCATCTTGGCATCAGCTGCAGTCCTCATAGGTCACCCGGTCGTCTTACATAGACCACTAAACGTAGGCTTGGTCTTCAACGATGATATCACATCTCGATCGGTTACACTATGTTCCGCCGTCCGTTTCCAGGAGCGTTACCTACCACTTTAGGTTGTCAAAGTCATTATAAAGAAAGTCGCCTGGCTCCATTCAGATGATTCCAGTGAAATTATTGACGACTAGCAAACACCCGGTGTTGTATGTTGTCTGTTTTTTCCTTTTTTTTTTCTTTCCTTTTCGAGCCATTTTCCCCTCACCACAGCTCAGTTTTCTTGGCTCACCTGGCCCGGCAATCGGTGATTCTTTATAGCACTGTGCCCTGTCCCCTGATTTGCTGTTATTCTGTGGTTCTCTCTCAGTTTGAGGTGACGAGGAGGCATGATCTGAGGCATGAAATCCGGAGGTGGTCATTCTGATCGCAAATGGAGCTCTCTATTCAATAAGTGACGCCTCGATGTATTGGGGCAGTGCAGTACAGTCACCCCTACTCTCAGTACAGCTCACATCCAGTTTACTTGCAAACTAAAACACTAACGAGGGCTGGGCTTAGGGTGACTAGCCTAGGCTCACCCTCTGCTTACCTTTGCTCAGCTTTGGCTTAGGTTAAAGCAGCTACAAATCGGTCCCCACACTTAATATGGATTAGGTACGAAGTTCTTGTTGCGGGTGATTATATAGGTACAATGTAGTAATTGTAGTAAGTATTCTGTGCGGGCGAGCTAACGTTACTCAGGTGTAGGTAAAGCGCGTATGTACTATTAGTTAGTGTCCGTGAGGTATATGATTCGCTTGTTGAACGAAAGCGCGGAACCTCTCAACTTGAGATCTCTCGAGCTTCAGTGGTCGTTTGATGACGATTCGGATCACTCATACGAGGCGCTTTCGGGGTTTTTCCAAGAGTTTCAGGGGCTTGAGGAGTTGTTCCTATCCACATCCGCCCCTGCGTACCCAGTAGAAATCTGGCGAGTAGTGTTACATCACCGTGCTTCCCTTCGGAGATTTGTGCATCATCAGCATGAGCGACCCTTAAGTTGGTACCGGCAGCGGGTCGATGAATTAAGTTTTCGCCGTGAGATTGATTCGCCTAATTTCGAATCCTTGGAACCCAGCGACTGTTGGTCTTTAGGGAGATTGGATCTGACTAGTCTCGGGCTTTGTTGCAAGCCTATTACTATGGTAAGTAGCAAATGTAATAATGTGTGGCTGAAATTGTGATCAGAAAATGTTTGTCTCTGAATTTGCCTCAAGAACAACCTTGCAAGTTTTACACGTGAGACAGTCAGGCCCGTACCTGGATTATTCTTCAAGCTCGGCCACGATGACCGAAGTAGACTATGATGGATGTTTTGAGCACGCCACCTTATTGCTATGTCGACAAGACGCGCCTTGTGGTATCGGGAATTTAGACACCGAGGATGCAAGTAAACGCCTCCATTTTCGAAAAGTTGTTCAAGGAAAAGATGCAGAGTTATGGGCACTACACGAACGTGAAAAGCACGTACTCGCTGGGTGCCCCTATGATAGGCTTTTCCATGATGAATATATGAATATGTAGAACGAGAGACTGTTTGCCCAAAGCGGACTAGCGTGTACCATACGGTTGAGGCCGATCTGCCGGATTGTTCCTGAAACGCTGAAGCTTCCAGCTCATCCGGCCATCCATCACGGACGGACACCCCCGCCCGATCACCTAAGAGCCCTCCGACCTCGTTCCTTCATCACCGAGTGACGCAGCTGCTGCACGATCGGCTTCCATAGGGTGCATCTTATCATCATCCAAGACAAGTCTCGTGAAGCAGCGCATGGTCCGCTGCGGCGTCGTGGCGCAGCACAACGTCTGTACTATGTAAAGTCACCATCCGACATGACTCGAGGCGGGGGAGTCTAAAGTATATCAGATTAACATTCTCATCGCCCTGTATATAGTTTGCCGGAACCGATCGCTTAGCCCGCTTCACTCTCAGAGCGCCCGGCTTCACCACAACGAGGGAAATGGTGACCTGAGCACACGATGGCCTCCTCGCACGACGGCGTCCGCTTCGAGAAGCTCGCCTCCAGGCGGAGCTCGCCGAAACCGTCCCTCGATTCTCACCGTGCGTCCGCCCCGCACGACGCCGACGATGATGACGATGAGGCCTTCGCCCTTCTTTCCGGGGACGTCTCCTCGCTTTCCGACAACGACAACATCGAGCTGGACGACCTCGGCTCCGTTGACAGCCCCCATGCTTCCTCCAGCCTGGGACACGATCGGCCGGGCCACACGCGCGGCCTTCACGAAGCCGAGGGATGGATCCAGGATGCGATCGACGCCGAGCGAAGCCTCACGCGCCGGGAAGCCATCCGTGCGTATCCTATGGCCATCTTTTGGAGTTTGATGGTGTCTTTGTGTGTGATTATGGAGGGTATGTCAATCGCGCCCGTCTCCATCTCACTATCTCACTACTCGTCTTCCTCCCACTCGCTTTCTTCACCACTTTCATCGGTCTCGCTTACGGGTCTTGTAAGCCATCCGACTGCATGGCGACTAATAAGCCGGTTCATGTGATGCGAACGAAAACGGCGAGATGCAAGGGCATGCCTACTGACCGCAATAAACAGGCTACGACACTATCCTCATCAGCAGCTTCTTCGCTCACCCCGAGTTCTCCAAGAAGTACGGCGACATAAAGGACAGCCTTGGCCGCGACCAGCTGTCGCCCATGTGGCAGGCGATCCTCGGGAACAGCAGCACCTTTGGCTGCATCATCGGCGTCCTCGCCAACGGCTTCATCGTCGAGCGGCACGGGCAAAAGGCCGCCCTCGTCGGCTCCCTGTGCGTGCTGTCCGGCTGCATCTTCATCACCTTCTTCGCCGTCGACAAGATCATGCTCATGTTGGGCCAGATCGCCTGCGGCCTGCCCTGGGGCGTCTTTGCTTCCTCGGCCCCGGCCTACGCGTCCGAAGTCCTCCCGCTCGCCCTGCGCGTCTACCTGACCACCTGGACCAATATGTGCTTCATCATCGGACAGCTCATATCCGCCGCCGTCCTCGCCGGCCTGCTGCCCCGGCGGGACGAGTGGTCCTTCCGCATCCCCTTCGCCCTGCAGTGGTCCTGGCCGGTGCTCCTCGTCCCGGTGCTGCTGTTCGCGCCCGAGTCCCCGTGGCACCTCGTGCGGGCCGGCCGGCTCGACGAGGCGGAGCAGGCGCTATCCCGCCTGCAGAGACGCAAGGTGAGCAGCCTGGACGCCAAGGCCCGGCTGCGGGAGATTGTCGAGACGGACCGGTTGGAGCAGGCCCACCAGACGGGGACCAGCTACTGGGACTGCTTCCGGGGCGTCGAGCGGCGCCGGACGGAGATCGCCTGCGTCGCCTTCGCGGGGCAGGTGCTCTCTGGCTCGACGTTCGCGTACAACTCGGTTTACTTCTTTCAGCAGGCCGGCCTGAAGCCGCAGGACAACTACGATCTCAACGTAGGCGGGACGGCGCTGGCCCTGGTCGGAACCGCCGTCAACTGGGTGGCGCTGATGCCGTATTTCGGCCGGCGCCGCATCTACCTCTGGGGCATGGCCAGCATGGCCGCCATCCTGTTCTTCATCGGCGTCCTCGACCAGATCGCACGTGCGCCGGGCGCGGCGGCGGCGGCGGGGCCCATCGGCTGGGTCCAGGCCTGCCTCACACTCGTCTGGACCTTCACGTTCCAGCTGTCCGTGGGCCAGCTCGGGTGGGCAATCCCTGCCGAGGTCGGCTCGACGCGGCTCCGCCAGAAGACCATCTGCGTCGCGCGCTTTACGTACTACATCGTCGGCCTGCTGGCCAGCACCGTTCAGCCGTATCTGATGAACCCGACCGCCTGGAACCTCAAGGGGACGACGGGGTTCGTCTGGGGCGGCTCGGCGTTCGCCACCTTCGTCTGGGCTTACTTCCGGCTTCCCGAGACCAAGGGGCGCACGTACGAGGAGCTGGACTTCCTCTTCCACAACAACGTTCCGACCAGGGACTTTGAGAGCACCGAGGTGGAAATCTTTGACGGCGGCGAGAAGATCTTGTCTCCTCCTTCTCCTTGACTTCTTGACTCGAGCACTCCTTTGGAGATTTTGTGCACCTGACACTAGTTCCATTTATTAGCCATCTTGTCGATCCACATCTTTTCTCATCTTTTCTCCCTGACGCGCCCCTCTTTTAGATCTCAACTGTATCTATGGGCCTGCATCTTCATCTAGGTTCAAGGGTTTACAGAGATTGCCATGAGTCAACCCCCCCACTCTTCAGCACCCCCCACGATAAATCTAGTGTATCTGAATTATCTAGTAAGGCTGAAACTTGTATTATCATGGCATCAAGGGGTTGTTGATAGTTAATTAAATGAAGTGGTGGTGGTCTTAATGGCATTATTAATGGTATGCCGAAACGTGGGGGCTCCGAAGGGTGGGTAGGTAGACTTATAATTAGCCCGCCTAGGAAATGTTGAGACAAACCCCGTGTCAGGAGCACCCAACTGCAAAGTACGCAAGAGCACGAATTGTGCAGTTGACCTAGCTGTAGCCGCTACGATCGGCAAGCCCGTTGATACTGTTGCCAAGTGAACAGGTGATGCCGATAGGTTTGGGGCTAAGTGATGTCTAGTAGTACAAGAAAGTAGCCGGGTCTTGGCAGATCGAAAATAGATGAACAGATCTAAGGAATTGAAATGCAATACATTAGAGTTCAAGTTGGTGATTATTCATTAATATCTATCTATATAAACTAGTAGGCGTCACTCGTCTAGACAAATCCTCTTCATACCACATTGGACAACAACTAACAATCACACTTCACTACAACATTCACACTTCACTACAACATTCACACTTCACTACAACATTCACGACTGCAACAACAATAACCCTCTACTGCAACAATGAAGCTTTCTATTGCTGCCCCCATCTGCCTGCTCTTCGCTACAGCGGTTAGCGCGGAGTCTTTTGTAGGCGTTGCCCCCTTTCCTCCTATCCTCTCATATAAACTATGAAGACTAACTAACACACTTAATCACTAACAGTGTGGCTCTACGCCTGACTGCTGCTGGAAAGATCTCGAAGCATGTGAGAAGAAGTTGGGCGGAAGGTGCTTCGCAGGCGCTAGATTTCAAACTGAAAAGGGTCACTTTTGCCAGGATAACAATGTCACACTGGCGCAGTGCGACGCCGACTGCTGCTCGGTCTCCAGGAAGGTCGGCATTGGCTGCTAATCTGCTCTTGTTTATCATTTTGGGGAAATTTATAGGCAGTCACTATGGAATTAAACGCGTTGCTTATTGCTTACCGTTCTGCTTTGACAACCCCGGTGAATGACCAGCTCCTCCAAACATAAACGTCCAATAATGGCGCTATGCTAACAGGAAGTCCCTGCTGACAACCAACCTGCTTATTCAGAAACCAGGGGAGTTGCGGATGTAACGTTCGCGCTAGCTCGATCAGGCATGTTAAAAGTCCGCAGCGTCCGCTATCTATCCAGAAGCAGGAGTTGTTTATCTCCGAGCCCAAGCAGTGGTGTCGATCAGCTGCAATGACAGCTTAGAAATCGTCCACTCCATTAGTCATGCCATAGTATTACTGTCCAGCATTGTCCCCTCCTGCAGAGAGGCTCTCCTTCGAAACCCCCTCCGCAGGAGGGGATTCTCCACGTGATGGATGGAAATGGCTAGGGATGTCTCGATAGATCCATTGGGATTTGCTTTGCTCGTGGCGGACATTAAATAGAGGCCACCGCCGACCCAGACGGACGTGAAGATGACGACCAGATAGAGCAGTATCAGCATTAGCAATACCAACAGCACTTATATCCTGCATACACCTTGAAGCAGCCCAGCATCGCCACCACATCAAAGGAGCAATCAAGCACAAACCCATCATCACAATGTCTGGACAGCAGGGACGCAAGATCGCCATCGTCGGCGCCAGCGGCACCATCGGCGGCGTCACCCTCAACGCCCTGCGTGAGAAAAACATCCACACCATCACCGCCGTCACCCGCGCCGCATCGTCCGCCACCTTCCCCGCCGACGTGATCGTCAAGGCGGGCGACTACGCCGACGAGGAATTTCTCCTCTCAGCCTTCCGCGGCCAGGACGTCGTCGTCCTCCAGCTCGGCATGGATGGCTTTATGTCCGTCCAGCCGTCGCTCATCCGCGCGGCGGCCAAGGCCGGCGTCAAGTGGGTCCTCCCTACCGAGTTCGGCTCCGACCTGGTGCCGTCCAAGCTGCGGGACGCCAGCCCCCTCCTCGCGATCAAGGAGCAGTTCCGCAACCTGGCCGAGGAGCTCGGCATGAGCTGGGTCGCCGTCGTCAACAACCCCTGGTTCGACTGGTCGCTCGAGCGGGGCCTCTGGGGCATCGACATCAAGGGCCGCTCGGCGCGGCTGTTCGGCGACGCCGTGAAGCTCCCCACGACGACGCTCAGCAACACGGCCAAGGGCACGGCGGGCCTGCTGAGCCTGCCCGAGGCCGAGCTCGAGACGTTCCGCAACCGGCCGCTGTACCTCAAGTCGTTCTACATCACGCAGCGGGAGATGTTCGACAGCGTCCTGCGCGCCACGGGCACCGAGGAGAAGGACTGGAAGGTCGAGGTGCTGGACATCGCGCCGACGGTCGCCGACGCGGAGGAGAAGTTCAGGCAAGGCGACCAAGGCGCCGTCTTTGTCGCGTTCTACGCCAACCACATGCGCGAGGGCCGGGGTGGCGACTACAACGCCAAGGTCGGCGACCTGAGTAAGCTCGGCATTGCGGAGGAGAATCTGGACGAGGTTGTCAAGAAGGTTGTTCAAAAGGTCGAGGGCCAATAGATACAGCGTGGCCGTTTGTATTCTGTGGCTAGCGCGAAGGCTCATTACATGTAGCGATCAATATACTGTGTGACGACAAAAGAAGATTTTTGGTTGCCATTGCGAACCACAGCTTATATACCATGACCGTTACTCCCCCTCCTTGATTAAACAAGGGGGAGACTCAGCTGTTTCCAAGAGACAAGCAGTTCATCTTTTGCCGGAGACCAGAGAGCGAAGGCTGAAGAGAATTTGTGTTGAAATAGAAGTAGAAAAAAAGCATTACTGTCGGGATGCTAGGCATCTCACAGAGAACGGGCCGGCCTAAGACCACGTGATTTACCTTAGATTGCCTGGCATATATCTCAATAGTGCTAGCAATAACTACACTTGTTGAATAGACTCTTATACGTGCATGTACGATAAAACAAGGGGTGAACCAAAGATCTATTATCCGTGACTATCTTTCCTAAGACTAAGTGTTGCCTAGTGTGCTAGCCTTAAGTACTTCGTACAAGCGAGTCAGTCTGGTATAATAAGTCTTTGCCCTTCGTACCCGAGGTCTGAGTAACCAATATGGTGGACCTCTTATTTCAGTGTCTGAGTCGTAATGACTGTGTCGGGTTTGTCGTACGATCATGTGACATTGTTATTCCAACAATACTCCTTATGCTCCTTCTCTTCTTTAATACCTAGTAATATACTGAAGTAACTACTATATAAACCTAACTAATTGGATCTTGTGACACTGGCAATTTTCTCACGTCGCTAGGGACAAGGGCCGCACTGAGCGCATTAGATCTCAGCAAGGAGTTCGTTCTAAATCGAACGACACTGAGAAAAGTGCCGGAGCCAAAGTTGAGCGGAAGGTTCATGTCGTTGAACCAAGATTCATCGACCGTCGTGTACTGGTTATCACTGTCGACAAAGAGCCAAGGTTGGAAGCAAGAGTTACTGCATGTGCGTGGTTGTTCGTTGTGGATGTCACGAAATATTCGACGTCTTTCGAGGCGGTAGCCAAACGAAAAGGCCGGGCCGAGAATCTTCGGGTCCATGGAGAACCGGGATGCCAAGGCCACCTCGTATTGATGAGTAGCACGAAGAACATTACCGACGGCGTGGGCGGCGGGAGGGCGCAAGTCCGTCGCGTGATGCGGGACATCTTGCCACAGGTAGTAGGCCTGGAGAGGATGGCCGTGTGGCGAGAGGGTGAGATGTTTCGAGGAGTGGACCTTGAGGTCTTTCATCACACTCAGGCGGCCAGACATCCACTTCAAAGTAGAAGTAGAGAGGTTGAATTGGGTCTCAAGATCCGGGGGTAAACCGGTACCGGACCAACCGAGATTGAAATATGTTGAGCGCCAAGAACTGTGGCACGCCTTCTGGTGCATATTCGACCAACCAACGATGTTGTCTGTGGGAACGGCGGTGGCTCCAGGGATGTCCGGAGCGATACCGTCGAGGGTGTTTTGGCTGTTACCCCCGGATACGTTGTCCGCTTCATTACAAGCGTATGCTGTGTACACGCCAGGAGAAGGGAGTTGCGCGTATTTCCACCAGTTGCTTTGATCGTTCGCATGTGTATCGTTTGTGAACCAACCAGCTGCGACAGTATCGGAGTCTCGAGAGAGCAGCGTGTGAGGCTGCAGGCGGAAGCGGAACGCCTCACCGCCTTGTTGAAAGTTGCCCATATTGGAGAGATATTGAGCAATGTGGCTAGGAATGTGGTATTCACCGCTAGTACCCATGAAGTTCAGGAAATTCTTCTGCTCGGTTGTGAGGTTGTTACCGTTTGTATCTTGCAAGAAGAGAGCGCGGTACCACCACATTGTCATGCAGTAGTATCGAAAGAGACCAATGGGGATGTGCTTTCCACCAGTAGAGTAATGTAATTGGATGAACACCCAGACTTGGGTGACCAAGTCGTTGAAGGGCTGAGCATCGACCGTAAAGACATTCTCGATGACCCTTCGATGAGATGAGAGGTCGATGTCACTCCACCCGGAGAGGGGAATGGTGCTCGAGATGGGCTTCGTGACCTTGCCCGTGGCGGATTGGCCACCTTTTGGCATATGAACTGCTCCCTGAGGAGCGTCTTTGTCCATAGTGGCCTTGGAAGGTCGCCTTTAGCGGCGAGCGGCCTTGGAGGGGTTGTTTTCAGCAGGCGACTGTCGTCCGAGCGGTCGTTGAGGTCGTTTTCGCGCAGTGCTTGAAGATGGGAGAACTTGTCGCCGGAGAGAATGGTGCAAGCTAGCCGAACGCGTGCTTACAAGGAAGTGTGAGTGCCTATTGGATAGAGCTCTTAACCAATAAGAAACTGGATGAAATATCGGAATGATAATCTGCCATTGCGCAAACACAACGTATGAAGTTGTCGTGAGGGACTGCGGATCACGGTCCAGAATATGAAAGTCACTGAAGTTAATCTTTTGAGTGTAGGGTTAGGTATGATCTCGTCAATCCAACCGATAGGACCCCTGAACTTGATGATGTTACTTGATCATTCAGGCTTATTCCCGCCAGTATGGAAGAACTAACTGAAAGACTAAGTTCTCTATATATGTCCGCTCGGTTGTTCAATTCGGTTTTCATTCCCGGGCCTCCGGGAAAGCCCCCAGACGGAGAAAACGGTGTCGAAGATCCAGACCGACGCAACCGACTCCGTCAAGGCCGCCAATCATCGAGGAATTTCCCTCCACGTGTGGCGGGCAACCCGGATGATCTCCGTCGAGATTTTCGATCTATTGAAGTGTTCCCGCCGGTCTAGTGCCCATTCGGAAGCTGGCAACCGATAAGATGAGGGGTCTGCGCTGTTCGCCCTGCGGTCCCCCCTGAGCATTCAGTCATCATCAGAAGTGAACGTTGCCATGTTATTTCAAGGTTTCTTCAATGGCCAATCACGACGTTGGCATTTACCCACGGGCTTGCATTTATAGGGAGAAGAGGAAAAAGAAGAAAAAGCTTAAAGATTGGAAAAAGAAAAAAGAACCGAGCTGCGATGTAAGCTCCGAAGCTCTTACGCGACGCTGCATTCCGTGTGAATACTAAGGGCTCATAAAGGGGGATCATTTTGCCCGTTGGCCACGGAGACGTGTAGCCTGCTCCCTCGATAGGTGCTTGATACTTCACTCGCAGTCCACTTACACACGGCATCGTAAGAGTAAAGAGACGAGGCCCGATCCCACCATGGTCCAGCCAATCTTCGCCATCCTGGCCCTGGCCGCCTCGGCGTCGGGGGCCTTCACCGGCAACCTCAACTACTTCTCGCCGTCCAAGCACCACGCTTCGCTCGGCGTGTCCATCAACAAGGTAGCCAGGCGCACGTACGCCAACTCGCACTGGGACCCGACCCGGCTCAACTTCACCCACGGCGTGGCCTCGGGCGATCCGTTCGAGGACAGCGTCATCCTCTGGACCCGCGTGGCGCCGTCGGTTGACAACGACCAGAGCAACGTGACTGTGAGCGGCTACGTGCCCCTGTACGATCACAGCAACGAGCCCTACGTCGAGAAGAGCGACTCGCCCGTCTGCGTCGACTGGAAGATCAGCACGAGCAAGACGCTCGACCCCGTCGTGGACGGAGGCACCGTCTACACGAGCTCCGACGTCGACTACACGGTCAAGGTCGAGGCCAGGAAGCTAGCTCCCTTCACCGTGTACTGTGAGCCGCCCTGTCCCCGATCCCCCGCCCGTGTATGTGTTCAGGGCGCTGACGCGCAGGATTCAAGATTACCAGTTCAGCGTGTGCAACTCCAACAACACGTCTCCCGTCGGCCGCACCAAGACGATCCCGGCCAAAGACTCCAAGGTCAATACGCCTGTCAAGCTTGCCGTGTACTCCTGCAGCAACTATCGTATGTCGCTCTCGCCCTTTTCTTTGCGAGCGACCCTTGAACTGACCCTGCCCCTTGATAACAAGCCTTTGGGTTCTTCAACGCGTACGGAAACCCCGTGCGGAAGGACTCGGTTGACTATGTGATTCATCTTGGCGACTATATCTATGAGTACGCAAATGGAGAGTACGGTTGGGGCAACTCTCTGGGGCGCATCCCCCTTCCAGACCGTCAGATCTACACGTACGTGGTGCTCTTCGTGTTGACCACGACGGTTTCTAACCGAATCGCAGTTTGTACGACTACCGCAAACGTTTAGCAACTTACAGGACCGACCTGGACCTGATTGCCAGCCACCAGAGCTTCCCTTGGATCCCCGTTTGGGATGACCACGGTACGTGTTGGACCAAGGCCGCCACTCTGGGTCGATACTGACTCGGAACAGAGGTAGCGGACAACACGTGGAGAGACGGCGCTGCCAAGCTAAACAACACCGAGGGCTCGTTCATCGCCGACGGAGGTGTCTCGGTCGATCAGCGCAAGATGAACGCCGTGCGTGCCTATTTTGAGTGGAGTAAGTTTGGGCTTTCTTGGTTGACTTCTCACACACGCTGACGGCTCCAAGTGCCCATCCGTCAAGTCGACATGGACGACAACCTCCGAATCTGGAGAGAGTTTAACTTTGGCGACCTGTTTGACCTGGTCATGCTTGACACCCGCCAGTACGACCGCGCTGTAAGTCGGATACCCCGTCTCTCAGGGTGACGTTCCTGACCGGGGTGGCTTCAGATCACGGACGTCTACACCAACACCGACTACATCCACGCCATATCCAACGACGCCAGCCGCTCGCTGATGGGTCCCCGCCAGGAGGCGTGGTTCTACAAGACGCTCCGCGACAGCTCCTCCCGCGGAGCGGCGTGGCGCGTCATCGGCAACCAGATCGTCTTCAGCCGCATGAACGAGAGCGCGGCCTTGGGCGACGAGAACCCGCTCAACTACGACGCCTGGGACGGGTACCAGGCGAACCGCAACCGCACCTTCCGGGTGCTGTACGACGACAACGTCGACAACAACATCTTCCTCGCCGGCGACTCGCACGCCTCGTGGGTCTCGGACCTCGTCTGGCTCGGCGAGCACGACTACGACCAGGCCACCGGCGCCGGCTCCGTCGGCGTCGAGTTCGCCGGCTCCGCCGTCAGCTCGCCCTGCCCGATCGGCCAGAACACCTCGCTCGCCGCCGCCAACAGCGCCTCGGCCTGGCTGACCGGCGCGAACCGCGAGCTGCAGTGGCAGGACCTGTACTACCGCGGCTACTACGAGCTCAGCATCGGCTACGACGCCGTCAACGCCTCCTTCTTCGGCATCCCCACCACCCGGGTCATGCAGGGCTACGAGATATCCCTCGCCAACTTCACCGTCCTGGCGGGCGAGAACAAGCTGCACCGGTGGGACGGCTCCGTCGTCGCCGGGGGCGTTGTCGAGAGCGGTAGCTTGAAGAACGGTGACGTCGTCCAGACGAACTTGACCCACGACACGGCCACCGGAGAGTACCTTACGTACAGCCCTCTATGAGTGCGCCGGCGGATCTTGGATAGATGGATGCCTTTCTTTGTATGATCTGCGCGTCTCACCATTACTTAATAGCGATTTGCTGAACGAGCCAAGCACTGCATCCTGTTCGCCTGAAGATGAGTGAGTCCCCTTGCCACAGGCGCTGTGCAATTTCTATAACTGTACGGCAGTGTCTTTCTTATGGGTCAGACCAAACCGAAACCGTTCTCACACAGCATCACTGGGTTTTTAAGTTTGGAGATCCTCACGAAGATAAGGATGATCATGAGCATGGAATTCTCGTGAATTTCAAACCCCAGAAACACGAAGCTGAAGAAGACGTGAAACATAACCATGGTATTTAATCATACGCAGGATATCTGAAAAAACAACAATGCCACCTGGACCAGCATGCTCGTGATGTAACCTAGAAAACCCCATGTCCTAACCAAATGACTCCTATTCATCCTTCCCCAAGAAATACACTTCCTGTCCTCTAGTTGCCAATGAGCTTGCTGTTGAACACATTGGCGGCGGTCGCGTCCTGGGTGGCGGCGGCCGCCGCAGCCTGGGCCGCCTTGCAGTTGCTGATGGTGGCGGCGGAGGCCTTGCAGCTGTCCTGGAGGCGCTGGCAGATGAAGCCGGCGATGACGCCGATCTTCTGCGCCGAGCCGTGGGCGAAGTCCTTCTGGTTGTTGGCGATGAAGGCGGACTCGCCCTGGCGGTCGGCGAGGCCGGCCTTGAAGGCGATGGAGGGGTCGCTGCAGGAGCCGAAGTTGCCAGCGGCGGCCTGGCGCTTGGTCAGACCGGCCTGGCTGCGGCACTGGGTGTTCTGGACGTCACACTGGGAGACGCCGCCGGAGAGCTGGCCGCTGTTGGCGGCGCGGGCGCAGGCGTTGTGCTGGACGTCGCAAGAGCGGCCGAGGGCGGCGCTCTTGCCGACGAAGGTGTCACCGTTGACGGAGAACGGGCGGTCACCGGTGCTCTGGATGACCGGGGGAGGGAGGCCGCCGAGGGTGCCGGTGAAGGTCTGGACGTTGGTGCCAGCGGCGGCACCAGCACCAGAATCAGCGCCGGCGGTGGCGTTGTTGGCGTCCGCGGCGGCGGCGTTGTTGTTGTTGTTGTTCTTAGCCTTGCAAGAGGCGCCGTTCTTCTTGTTACCGCTGTTGGCGTTGTTGTTGGCGTTGTTGTTGGCGGCGTTGCCAGTTGCGGGAGCGGCGGCGGCGCCGCCTCCGGCAACCTTGAAGTTGGCCACATCGGCGACGTCAGCGGCCTTCAGCTCGCCGGTGCCTCCGGTGATGGTCGGGGTAATGCCCTGGACGGCCGTGGTGATCTCATCGGGGGTGGCGTCGAGGATGAGCTTCTTCTGAGTGAAGATGCAGCCGGTAGGGTCGTCGGCGTTGTCGCAGGTAACGCCCTTTCCGCTGCCGTCGGCCTTGTCGCCGGGCGCGAAGGTGCCGCTCATGAGGGCAAGCATGGGGTCGCCGCCGATCGAGGCAAGCTGCTTCGCAAGCTCGAGGGTGACGGCCTTGTTGTTGGCGGCCGCGCCGTCGGAGGCGGGGTCCTGGTGCTTGTTGACCAGGGCCGCGATCTCGGGGTTGACGGCCTTGTCGGTGCAGGCCGCGCTGGCCTTGCCGACGCCGGCGGTGTTGCGCTCGATGGCCTGGTAGACCAGAGCGGCGGACATGCCGCGGATGTCGTTGGCCGCCTTGGCGTTGGTGAAGGCCTGGTCGGCCGTCTCCTGCTGCAGGCAGGCGAGGTTGGTGACCTGGCCGGCGCCGGCCTTGGCCGCGGAGTCGCCGAGGAGGCCGAAGACGGGGTCGGAGATGGCCTTGGGGTTGTTCTTGGCCAAGAACTCGCGCGTGATGGTCAGGAAGAGCTCGTGCGAGTGTTCCTGGGGGACCTCGCGCTTGGAGACGCGGCGGAGGTGCTGGGGAGCGCCGGCCACGAGACCGAGGAGAGCCGAAGAGGCGAAAGCGACAGTTTGGTACTTCATCTTGTCCGAAAGTGATTTTTGAAAACAAAACAAGTCTGGGTCTTCTATCTGCTGTGGAGCAAAGGGATACTGGGAGAAGAGTGGCTAGAAGAACGCAAGTTGAAAAAGATCGATTGCAAGCAATGCAAAGAATGGAAGAGCTCACGGAACTCGGAGTAGAAAAGAATGAATGAAACGAAGTGAGTGTTGTGTGAAGTTGTGAAGCTATGGGCAGGAACGAAAGATCTGCTCATGGCAGGGAGATCAGTCCGGTTTATATGGAAACGAACGGACGAGAAACATGATCAGAGCAACCCCTGGTATGTCACTGAACATCGGACGGTCCAGAGCATAGCATGTTGATCAGCCAGCATTCATTACCCGTCGGCTGAGGCGTGGCTCGAGGAGTTCGGACCCTCGACCCCGTCTCCGGGGTGAGAGGCCGGGGGACCAAGGCGCGTAAGGCAACTTGAGACGAGTTGAGTCGGTTGAACCGGCTTGGGGATATTGCCAGGTCCAGGAACTTGGCGAACCCGAATGAGTGGTCCGGCATGGGCCAGGGTTGAGGTATTACCGCAACGAGTTACCACTTCACGGTTAAGCCAGCCACTCCACGAGGCGAACCTGACGCGAATCCAGGCTTGGAGAGAGCCCTGCGTCAATCATGGCGGTATGGCTCGCGTGGCCCGCGGATATTCGACTGCGCTGCGACCAATCATGAGCGGGTCTCGGCAAGCCGGCCGGACAAGACGGTGTGAAGTAAAGGATGAGCACGATGATCAGACACACCCAGCCGCAAGTTGTCCTGCGTTGAGTTTCGCCAGGGATGAAGGCGGTTGTGTTTTGGGTTGGGGGGGGGGGGATCTTGTCCTGACCTACATATTGGTACGCGCCCCGGGGCAGAAATGCTTAGCTGCTCAAGAGACCAATGGGAAACCTCCTACGGTCTCCGGATCACGGGGATGCCGTATGGTCGCGGTGGGTAAGGGGTCACTTTTCATTTCTTCAAGGCTTAGCGCAGGGGGTTTCTACAGACTATCTTTGCCGCGGCTTTCTAGAACGGCCGAATACTTGCGCCTCTGGCAGACAGACTGCACTTCAAAAGAGTTTCGCTACCCCAGAAACGGTGTCCGGGGGACAACAAGCTCACCTATTTTGGCATCTCGCGCCGAATCCTCTCTCTGGTGCCACTTACCCCCCGGTCTGCCAGCGGCATTCCATCTTTTGCACGCGAACATACTCCAGGTGATGTTCGTACTTGATTGTTTGTCATGGTAGCGGGGAGCCGGAAGACCATGGGCCGGTGAAAGCCAGTCAGTCCCTTCTGGCATTCTCTAGAATGAGGCAAGGCATCCGCTGTCATCGAGGCGCAGAGATCATGATTTCGTCCAGACTCATGCGCGCACTGAGAGTGGATCTACACCTGATGCCTGTCTTAAGATCTACTGTTTCAGAATATCAGAGCCTTCAGACGCACCAGTGCCACCCTGTTAGGATTTCTGACCCCATCACCACGCGGTCTGGACCACCCTTGCGTGTCATCCCTTGGTTGCATTGACAGGGCAGCGGCTGCGGGATGTGGTGGACGGGCAGGCAAGTGAATTCAATGGTAGGCATGTCGTCCACCTCATCCGCTCCCAAGTGACGCGATCTACCTCTCATCTTGGATACCGGCTTAGAGAGATTGGTTGAGAATCCCTACTGCGTGACTCGAGGTTCGTCGCATGTGCATGAGCGCAAACAAAATTGACAGTGTTGAGATGACGGGTTGATTCAGGCACTGAAGGCGGATCAGGATCAGGAACTCTCGGTAACTTCAGGTCTGCCGCCCTTCGCCGGAATCTAACCTCAATCAGGTTAGTAACTAATTAGACGATCACAAAAACCCGGAAGAGCAACTCTAATGTCGTTTCCCACGTAGGTTACCTACCATACCTGTATGTCCCCATGCTTAATTTGCGAGCCTTAGCGTCCGTCCCGTCTGATTAATAAGTTCAGTTCTGTCAAGCAATGGTCTTAATATCTATTATTTAACGCCGTTCATCGCTAGGGGACGACCCTTGGAGCAGCAAGCCACGCTTGGCATTTCTTCAGCGCAGGAGAGTCGAACATGGCCCATCGACAAGTGCATATTTCGGCGTCCTGATGATTATGGTTAAACGAAATTTGACAAGAAGGAGAGCGTGTTATATCGTTTCAGCTGCTCTATGGGAAGCAAGCTGGCATCTGGCAGTCCCGAGGGGGGTTAGCTTATGCTGAATCCATACCGTATAGCCGGCACCTCCCTGCTCCTATTATCACGGTGACACCCAAAGTTTTGCTTTGTTCGGACCCCAACTTCTCGCTTAGTAGTACAGGCTTCTGAGCCGTGGTTCTGAGTATCGCCCAACATTTCGCTATACCTAGACCAGGGCTTGCATCCGATATATGGGTCAAGCGGAGTCTGTAACAAGGTTTGTTGCCGCGGCACAGAGTAGCAAGCTCTCTTCACGAAGCCCTTGTCCTTGTTGTCATTTTGCTGCGTGTGCTCTGCTGTACAAATGCAGTCTTGCCGCCGCTAGCCTTCGTGGGTAGAGACCTCTTTTTGCCATTGGTGTTCGAATCCGGTGCGAGACTTTGGTGGGTTTTAAATGGGTTTGAAGACTTTCAAAATGGTTTAATTGACTTTAAGTAGATGGGCTCCCCTCGTTTCCTCGCGGCTAATCAAGTCGAGGCCCCTTGTATCTCCTATTCGCGTAACCAAACCAGTTTGCCACAGAAAAGAGAGCCATTACACCCAGTACAACGATTGCATAATCTTTTACTGAATCAGCCAGAATCATCAGCGGTATAGGGGGGTGAGCAGGGGAGGGGTGCGTACTCATGTTGGATGCAGAGACCGGCATAACCACAGGAAAGACGTAAAACACCAAGGCCAGAAGACCGTGAACTATCGTCAGAGAATTGGCGAGTAGCCCCGCAACGCCCGGCAGTCTGAATTTCCTCCGCGGCAGCACCTTCTCGAACGCCGCTGGTCCCCGGGCCCGGTGATAGAGGGCCAATGCCGCAGGGAACGCGAAGCTGACTTGCTGGAGGATGAGGCCGGTGGCGACAAGGGCGTTGAAGGCCGTCGAAGACCCGAGGAAGATGCAGCCGAGGGCGAAGACGAGAAAGAAGTTGACGAGAAGCGCGTTGACGGGGACCCCGAGAGTAGGATGCACTTTTCGCAGGAAGGAAGAGAAGACGATTGCATCGTCGCGAGCGAATGACCATGTCAGTCGACTGGCGGTCTGCAAGGCGCCTGTGCATGCAAAGCAGCCGCAAACCGAGAGAATGACCACAAAGGCGGTTGCTGCCGCGCTTGACCCGGTCGCTTGAGACCATATCTCGAGGATGGGGAGTCTGTAAAGCAACGAGGTCATTAGCACGGCTCCCGGAAGATGCGGGATCCGAAATTGTTTGCATGATGGCATATCGTCGTATCCACAGAAATGAGCATGGGGGAGGGGAAGATGAAACTATCTTACGGAGACGACAGCACGGGCTCAAGATCAGTGAAGCTATACAACATGGCCACGCTAAAGGTAAAGGCTGACACAAAGCCGATGGTGACTGTTGAGATCAAGGCCCTTGGGATCGCCGAGGACGCGTTCGTGCACTCTTCTGCCAGATGAACAGCACCGTCGAGACCCGAGTAGATGAAGTTGGGGTTGAGCAGCCCAGTCAAGAAGACTATCCCGCGCGACGACCACCCGCTCTCGTTGACGAAAGTGGTCCAGACGAAGGCGTCATCCTGCTTGTGCTCCGACCGCGCCAGACACGTAACGGTGATGACGACGAAGCCGGCGAGTGACAGGAAGACTGCAGGTTTCTGGTCAGCCCGGCGCGGGTTGCGGGGATTCGTCGATGCAGCATCCTACATCCAACATCATGGATCCATGCGGTACGCTTCATGAGGAAGACGTTGTACGCGGTGAAGGCAACGTTGAAAGCCTGAAAGACCAGAAAGATGTGCCAGGTCTCGGGCACATACGTCGGGTCGAGATAGGCCGCGAGGGAGAGAATGATGACGGGCATCTGGATGATGAAGCCGGCACCGTTCGCGATCCAGCCGAGGAAGTTGATGGAGCCGCAGCAATAGCTCTAAAAGGTCGTCATCATCACCGTGCTTCCATTCATATACCTTTAAGCGCACCACACCACGAGGGGTTCTAGGCGCGCGACTTACAAGACCGCGGCTGAGATGTCTCGGTGCCAAGATACTTGTCCAGTGGTACTGGCCCCCGGCAGTCGGGTAAACGGAAGCGATCTCGGCCATGCTCAGAGCGCAGGCACCCCCAAGCACAAAGATGAGTATGATGCCGTAGAGCAGTGTCACCGGCCCGCCCGAGGTGATGGATATGACGAGCGTTGCAGCGATCGCCGCCCAGCTGTTGCTGATGTTCCATCCCAGACCGACGATCCCCAGAAGCCCAATGTCTCTCTTTGCTGGTGACTCGAGACCGAGGCGACTGAGCTCTGCGTTCTCGTCGCTCGCGGTATCGGTCGAGACAACTGTTTCCGGATTGTTCAGCAGGTTTAATTAACTTTGATCTTCTTTTCCCCTTTCCGAGGGATCTGGCTGCGTACATCTTTCGTCGTCGTCGCCTCCACCATGTGCGCTGGCCTTGGGCTGCGCCTTGTAATCACCTTGGCCGGAAGCCGCTGTTGATAACGCCATGTCTGGCGGTTTGATGAGAGGGAGGGATTTCAAGAAGCCTTTTTCACAGCATCAAAGGGCGCGGCGACTTTTTGAATGATCAAGACCCCCCCCTCCTAGGGTTTTCTGTGAATCGTTCAAGCACGCACTAAGGTGCAAGAGGAAAGTGGTACGAAAATACGGTCGTATCGCAGGCGCTGCAAGGGTCGTCTGCAGTCATCTCAGTACCTAGCTCGGCTCCAAGCAACGCCCATACGAGAACCTAATTCGTGGCCAAGTTCTTAGATGGTCCGATCGAATGTATGTCGTTCACTCCAATGCAGTGTGACATAGCCTCAAAAACCTAGCCAATGGCTGTGATGCCACTGTCTGACAGCGGCATGGGTTGCATTCAGAGCTTGCCTCGATGAGGATTGGCATATGGATGCAGTTTCAACCGATTGTTAACCATCCCGGGTTTTACACAAATCTGGTTACGAAACCACACACACCAAGACTGCTGCGTTTGGTTTTTCCTATACGAGCTGCTTAGCCGAATATGTCCCCGAGAGGGACAGGTCTTGATTACCACTGTCTGCAAGCTGATCGAAATACACACAATGGTATGTGGAGAGAGGGGTGATGTGAGAAAGAACCGCCATACGAAACAAAACCAAATGGAAGTCGTCATCGAGAGAGCCACACTCGAGGCCGTGATCAGAGCTTCGGCTGAATGGATTTACTCGGTGATAGGGCAACGCCACGTAATTGCTAATGGCAACGCAAGGAGTGGCCATCGCAACAATCTCTTGCTTCAGCCGTGGCCCACGGCAAATAACTCCAAGCTCGGGTGATTGTGCAGAGCTTCGGCAAACGATGGAAAGACCCAGAAGCCTCACCGCCATCGTAACTGCGAGGACGAGTGCGTTGCATCGTTCAAAAATGTAGTTCATGTTTCTGCTGTGCAATGCAGATATCTTTGACGAGCTCTGTGACAGACCCTCATAAGCCGGTGCCATATCCCTTTAGTTGCGAACTGACCTCACTAACCCCCGTGAGGGGTAGGGAGGTCCTCTGGCTGGACCTCCACGTAAATAGTACTGTAAATGGAGGTATCTAAATCAGAGGTCATCATAATTATAGTGATAATTTTAATGATAATGTTGGTGATAATATTGAAATTAGTAGTAGTTGCTAATAAAATAACATTCTAAAACAATGTATTATCATGTAGGGTACAGGTAGAATACTAGTGCAATTTGGTTGGTGGCCAGTAAGTTAAGCCTATTTCAGAAGGCACTGCCACCACCGCCCACGTCCATAACCTATGCAAAAAACGCCCTTTTTGCCGCAAATCCACCATTGCCAACAGACGCCCACGATGCCTAAGATTAAGCCCTTATATTCAACCTTTGAAGAGCAACAGCGACGTATATAAATTTACTATTATTATAAGGGCATTATCTTGTAATTAAACAGGTTGCATAACATAATCAATTCTTAAATTAATGATAATTATTGCCTCTATTTTGCTTTAACTTTAAATTACTTAAATCTAAAGAGTTTTTAACTTAATATAACTTTCTGAACCCTGGCCTTCTTATGAGTTAGTTAGGCCGGAATTATGTTTTTGCTGGCGCTGATATAATGTATTCTGAAACAGGCTTAACTCACTGGCCAGTGGCCGCTGACTAAATCACACTGGTATTCTACCGCTACCCTTTTAAAAGACTAATATATTAGAGTATTGGAAATATAAATACTGTAATAGTTATATAATAAGGTTTATATTGAATGAAATTGCTCTATATACATAGGGAAGACGTCCAGGTATGATCGCACTGGACTTAAAGATAGGGTGAACCAAAGATATGTTATTCCGTGATTATCTTCTCAGTACACGAGTTGTCTGACTCCGAGTCGGAAGACGAGGATAAGTCACTGGCCAGTTCAGGCTCCAGCCGGCGACCTTTGTTAGATCTATGATTGATCACCATGCATCTTGATCAGCCTGATTACCAGTAAAACAGCAAGAACACTACACTGTTGATAAGTACCTTAACGTCTCCTAGTAGACTGTTTACACTATTGAAGAATACCTGGCTATAACAGTGCTATTCTAATAGTTTGAAAAGTGATAAAAGCACTTAAAGTAAAAATATAGCCTCTTATAGACCTTAATTTAGTATATTAAGTATAAGTATATTAATAGAATTTAACCTGACCTTCCGACCGGTTATCCAGCTGGAAGACTTTTATATGCTGGCGGGCCCGGGTTTCGCCGAGGGCTTACTGACTAATCGCCGATATCTGGCTTCCGATATTCCCTGGCATCCCGCCATTGACCCAAGGGACCGAATTCATTACAAAAAGGAGCTCAAGGTTTCTCTTTTCTTAGAGTCTTTACTGCTATCCAAGTCACATTTACAAATTATTATTATCACTTTATCTTAATCACTTAAGATGCGTTTCTCTATTACTACTCTTGCCTTAGCTATAAGTGCTGTCGCCTCCCCAGTACCAGACAAGGAAGACTATCTAGCATCCCGCGATGTTCTACAACAACTAAAGCCAAGAGCTTGCGTACAAAGAGACAGTTGGTGCAATTGGAAGACAGTTTGCTGCTTCCCTAACGTATGCAAAAGTAACCGGTGCGCGCCAATGTTTAAAAAGCCGGTCCACCCTATGGTACGTAAAGTTAGAAGCTAATGTATTTATTATCTACTAACAATAAAACAAAAGCCACATGAATAGCTACAGTGTGCTATAGGATGCTATACAGAGAGCAGCATGTCACGAGCAGGTCAGGACAACCAACTGCGCTACAAAGCAAAAGCTTCAGTAATGATGCGCCTGCATCATTATCTCCTGTTCTGCAATATATAGTCACGTAACCGATCGGGTCGTAACACAGCACAAGCGCTAGTAAAGTGTCAAATGTGGCGGAATTACACGGAATGTCACGGAGAAACCACGGAGTATTCGCCGTAGGTTCGCAGGAGGATCGCCCTACTTCGGGGGTGAAATATGCCAATTAGAGAGCCAGGATTAAGTCAGGACTCTGTATCTTAGACTCCGCCAGAAATAGGGGTTAGAAGGGTTTCTACATAGAACATATAATAAGAGATTACTAACTTGCGTATATTATAATCCCTACGATTAGACATAAAGGATCTCAAGAGTATTAACGTTCTAGTTATATTTTTTATGTAGTATACTCTTTACAGGTTTATAATATTTAGTAAACGACAGAGAATCTAGTTAACGCTTTATTTTACTATAACTTTAGCTACAGAGGTAAACTTAGTAGCATAAAAGGTAATGGGGTTAGTGAGGTCTGCTTGCACTTAAAGGGATAGGCTCCTATTCATTGAGTCACTGGGTAACATGAACACTAGTCTTTTTTTTTCCTTCTTTCTTTCTTTATTTCTTTTTTTTCCCGTGTTTCTATTCTCGAGAACTTGTTTCTTGATTAATATTAAGAGCTAGGTATATTTCTGTAATAATTCGCTAGATGCATCGAGTTATAGAAACTCCATCAACGACTGCCCCCCCTCCATCTTATCAAACTCCTCTATGAAACACTCAATGACACTGAGAATGCCCAGGGCGGCGCCGAACTTCATCGGAACCTCCTTCCCGTTATGATAGGAAGGATGGTCTTTCAGTTTGCCGCCTTTTTGTCCCTTGCGGCGCATAGGAAGCTCCCTAGGCAGCGGGTAAAACGGGAGCCCTGCCCCCTCCTCCTTCGGGTCTTTTTCCAACAGGTGCATCGCCTCGAGGTACGGCGTGTAGCTCTCCCCGTCTTTCAGGCTGCCCTGGTGGAGGAGGTTGAACATGCTCCAGGCCGCGCGGACGACGCTCTCGAGGGCGCCGACGACCCAGGCGTGGTGCGTGGAGGCCGCCTCGCCCACGAAGTACAGCTGCCCGAAGGCGTTGGGCTTCGTGATGGCCGGGTAGAGGTCCCAGAACTGGCACGGCCCAAAGTACGCGAACGCGCCCGCCGTGTGGGGGTCGCGGTACCAGTCGTACGCGTGGTGGGTGTCGTAGAGGCCGGTGATGAGGGTGAGCGTGTCCTCGTAGGGGCTTGCCTTGCCGGAGTGCAGCATCGCCACGTCGTGGAGGAGAACATTCTTGAGCTCTTCCTCCCCCGCCGGCGAGTCGGACGATATCAGGCTGGCGATCCGCTGGGCCTCTTGGCCCCACGTATAGGACACCAGCAGCACGGCGGGCTCGTCGACGGGGTCGTGGATGTTGTAAGACGGATAGACGCAGACCTGGAGTGGGAGATCGGTCCGCGCGAGACCGCCCTGCGTGATATTAAAGGGCTCCTCTCTCCACCACGCCTTCCTGAACATCATGCCCACCTTGCACGAAGCGCCGTAGCCCAAGCAGCGTATGGCTTGCTTGGTGTCCCATAGCAGACCTGCTTTCGACAGGTCCATGCGACCCATCGACCCAAGAGTCGTAGAGTTGAAAACGGTAAAGTATCTCTCATCCCTTTCCGCGCCGCGGCTGTCGGGCTCCGCCTTGGTATCGCGGATCTTGAGGGTGAGTCGTTCCGCCTGGTCCCGGTTGGGGCTGGCGTGGGCGTCCATGGCAACGACCTGGCTGTTGAACTGGATGCAGTCCGGGTTCTTGAGCTTCTTGCGCATCGCCTCGGCGATCTTTTGCGCGCCGCCGTCCACGCACCACCAGTGATCGTTGACAGGCTTCTCGGTGTCGAAATCCAAGTGTTCTAGGACGGCTTCCGTGAGGGACTGGTCATACCATCCGGTTCCACTGCAAAATGAAGAGTGAGCGAGGACACGCGTTGCCGCAGAATGTATGGCTTACTAGGTTGCCGTTTCCATCCATTGAACGGTAGGGTAGCTATATCCGGGCCCCGTGATCCCCAGGGACGGGTTTTCTTTGCTAAGATATCGCTGTTAGCTTGGGCACCGGACGCCGAACTGGTCTCTGTCATCCTTACGAGAGCAGGAATTGGCGAACGCTCATCCGGTCCGACTGCCGTAGCATTTCCCAGAACAACTCCTCGTCGCCTGGCGCCTTGGCTTCGCTAGTCTTGACCGAACTAGCATCGAGCGAAGGGTCGGTCTTGCGCTTGTCCAGGCCGTCCTTCACGGCCTCGATGTATGGACGGATGGCTTCCTCGAAGAGTTTGCTGGGGTCCATTTTAAGCAGGCTACAACGGCGCGAGAAGAGATTAGCCCGAATCTCTCAGACTATTGAAACACGACACCAGCCGTAACTTACTCCTCGGGGATTCTTTGATCTTCTAGGAGGCCCTTGTTGAGATCGTAGGGGTCTACGACCCCTTCCTTTTCGTAGACACGGCCGACAGTGCGGCGGTCGTTGAACAGCGAGGGGCAAACATCTTTGGTATCCTCCATGAAGTACGGCACGAGAACGGGAGGGTCTTCGGGCCGCTTGCGGGGGCTCGGCTGTCCCGCTGCTATCTTCTCGATGCCCAAGAATTTAAAGAGACGGAAAGTCCTGCGCCCATCAGTCAGTATTGTGTGCCATCTCGGCCTTGGCGCGTGTACATGCCTGTCCATGACTGTGTTATCGGGGAAGCGCATGGCGCCGACATCATAATAGTCGTGCACCCGCTTGGGCGGGTCATCGAAGTAGTGCGTGAACAATCGTCCGCCGAATCGCGTCTTGTCAGAGGCCTCGAGGATGTCGTAGTCGATCTTGAGACCTTTGACGTTCTCGCACACCCAGTCGAGCAAGAGGGCGGTGAACAGCCCGGCGACACCGGCTCCCACGATGCCCACCCTGAGCTCGCCGGCCTTCTCCGGGGTAAGGCCTCCGGTAGTGACTTTCTCGGTGAACTCGGCGAGGCCAGCAACGTCGTTGGGAATCGGCATGCCAGTTTTCATGTCACGCAGCCTCGATGACACCAAATGGAGGTCACTCTCGAACTTTGTCCGCGACACATAACGAGCCCACTGTGACTTGTATGAGTCAACGGGTTCAGATACTTCGGTCGACATAGTGAAGACTTTGGAGGATTAAGTTAATGCAAAATCGATGCGAACTGGTAAATGACAGCTACCGGTAATCAAGGCGGAGTCCAGGCTGGAAAATAAGAGGATCTCCTTGACATTTATAACAGCCAGGCTCGAATCCTGTTCCGAGGCTCTGGATATCAGAATAATAACACAACCCAAACACGGCAGGCGGACTCACCGCCAGCCAAGTCTCAGATATCTAACTTCAGCTCTCGTTAGTTCCGCCGCGCGCGGTACAGACTGCGCACTGCAAGAGCGTTTTCATCCATGCCGTCTTCCCCTTCGTAACCCTGACCTATGACCGTTGATCGAAGTTCTGAACAAGAATGAGAGCACAGCAGGCAGACGGCAGTAGCTAGACGATATTGCATTTTGCGGCTGGCTGGCCACTTGGAGCCTTTCTCCCCCAAGACAAATCAGTATCGGGTGAGCTAGCCAAAGCAAGTTTAGATGGAGGCGCCAAAAATGTAGCTGAACATTCGATGTTTTAACCAAACTCAGACATCCCGTCCATAATGGCACCGAGCCGTTGATTCATTGGTCACTGTTTAAAATCCTGCATGTTCTGATTGGGCCCGCGGCGACGCAATGTCTTGGATCTTGCAAGTCTAGACCTCCCGCGCCATGCTTCAGACGGCCGCAGACACGCCTCCGAGTTTGCATGTGCCCAAGACGCCGGAACCACCTCCCGCTTGACTGTTAGTGCTGGATTCATGGCTGGGACCTGGTACGAGCCGACTTTCATCAACTACGTGAACAGGATCAGCCGGGTGAGAGCAGGTAAGTGAAGAGGGCTACGCTCGAGTAACATAGTTAGCCGCTGTTATCTCTGATGGTTACCCGCTCATTGTTGACCGTGTGGAAATCTGCCATTGAGGACAAGTGCCTCGTCAGCGGTTTCGAATCACACAAGCCACACGTCCATATCGCGTGACCGGCATCGGGAGTGTGCCGAATCTCGTCCATCGCTCACGACAGAGCTTGAACTGAACAGCCACTTGATTATTCTTCACTTGTCGGACGGTATCGCCCATGACAGAAAACCGAGGCAAGTGAAAGTCAACACACGGCCTCGCATCTGCGAGGGAACGTATCAGCAAGCTGTCACACGGCCCTCACCATGACCGCCAAGATTGAATATGATGGCTCACATGAGCGTGAGTACATTGGTCTTTGGTTATGGTTCTGAGCTGTTGATCGCCATCAGTCACCCGCACAGAGCCAGGCATCCGGCTGATGGCCAACCGGATGTCGAAGCCGAAGTACTGGTCAGCTTCCCGGCTCTCCCCTGGGACCCCCCGCTTCCCGGAAAGACATTTAGCACGTTTCCTAGCTCCCTTCCAAAAACGAGGCGCCGCCATCGGTACGGGAGAATAACGCCACCTTCGCGACGGGCCGCCTGGATGACGCCACACGGGGGGGGGGGGGGGGGGGGGGCAAGCTTGGACCGGGGGCCTGTCTAGCCCGAGTCCTGCCCATGAGCGCGAGGATTCGAATGCGGTCCAAACGCGACGAATGAAGGTCGTCGGGGGTCGGGGTATTAAGGTATCGTCAACGGGAAAAGAGGACGACGGCGCATGCTGGACCCTCTCTCTCTCCCTCTCTCTCTCTCTCTCTGTGTGTGTGTGTGTGTGTCTATTATCTACGTCTGAAATTCACCCAATATGCTGCAGTTTGCGCCCCCTCCAATGCCCGCAAGGCCATGCTATCAGCCCGGTCCCGCCCATTTACAAGGTAAAAATACAGATGCTCTAGGTTTCTCTTGGCCGCCGCACTTGGCCCCCAGCGAGTGGCCCCTCGTCTGCGGGCAGCCGCATGGCGCTCTCCCCCCCGCTCTATCCCCTCTATCCCTCTATGGTATGTGTATGTGTGTATGTGTATGTGTGTGTGTTGTGCAAGTGTGCATAGGGTATGTGCACTCTCTCTCTCTCTAGCGGACTGTACGAAAATTAAGCCAGCAGGAGGCTGGCGGGGTCCTCGATGTACCTCTTGACGAGGTTGAGGAAGGTGACGGCCTCGCGGCCGTCGATGAGGCGGTGGTCGTAGGTGACGGTGATGTACATCATGGGGCGGATCTCGAGCTTGCCGTCGACGACGACGGGGCGGTCCTTGATGCCGTTCATGTTGAAGACGGCGGCCTGGGGGTAGTTGATGACGGGGGTGCCGAACATGGAGCCGAAGATGCCGGGGTTGCTGATGGAGAAGTTGCCGCCCTCGAGGTCGGCCATGGCGAGCTTGCCGTCGCGGGCCTGGTGGTGCGTTAGCATTCGCTCGCTCTTGGAATCTCGGTGGTGATTCAGGGAGAGGATGGGGGGGTGGGGGGGTTAAGGGAGTAAACTCACCTTGGCGGCCAGCTCGGCGACGCCGCGCTCGATGCCGATGATGTCGAGGGCGTCGACATTGCGCAGGACGGGGGTGACGAGGCCCTTGGGGGCGCTGACGGCGATGCTGATGTCGACGTAGTCGCGGTAGGTGATGATCTCCTTCTCGGTGTCGATGGAGGCGTTGAGCTGGGGCACCTGCTGGGCGGCGAGGCAGGTGGCCTTGGTGAAGGCGCCCATGTAGCCGAGGCGGACGCCGTGGCGCTTCATGACGGCCTCCTTGTTCTGGGCGCGCCAGGCCATGAGGGCCGACATGTCGACCTCGTTGATGGTGGTCAGCGAGGCCGTCGCGTTCTGCGACTGCTTGAGCTTGGTGGCGATGGTCTTGCGCATGCGCGAGAGCTTCTCGACGCGCTCGCCGCGGGGGAAGGCGCCGGTCGCGCCGAAGGGCGTCTGGGGCTGCTGCTGCTGCTGCTGCTCAGAGGCGGGGGCGGGCTTGGTCTCCTGCTTGGGGGCGGCCGGGGCGGGCTCCTTCTTCTGCTCTTGCGCCGGGGCGGCGGGGGCGGGAGGAGCGGGAGGGGCGGGCTCAGACTTGGGCTCGGGCTTGGGCTTGTCGGCGGCGTCGGCGGGCGCGCCGCCGGTCTCCATGCGGGCGAGCTTCTGGCCGACCTCGACGGTGTCGCCCTCGGCGACGAAGAGCTCGAGGATGGTGCCCTCCTCGGGGGCGTTGACGGCGACGTCGATCTTGTCCGTCTCGATGCTGGCGACCTCCTCGTCGGCCTCGACGCGGTCGCCGACCTGCTTGCCGAGGGAGGCGACGGTGCCCTCGGTGATGGACTCGGCCATCTGGGGCACGGTGATGATGACCTCGCCGTGCTGGATGCGCGTGGTGCTGAAGGAGCGGTACCGGGAGGAGGAGGCGGCGGCGGCGGCGGCGAAGGCAGGGTATGCGCTGGGGACGGACCGCGTGGCGGTGACGAGGGACCGGGTCGAGGCTTTCGGGGCGGCGCCGGCGATGTGGGATCGGGCGGCGGATGCGAGTCTCGTCGAGGGCCTGGCCATCCGGCCGACGGTCTGGATCTGGGGGCGCATCATGGTTGCGGGTGTGTGGTACGAGGGGAGGGGAGAAAGATGTCGAAGAGGCGATCGGAGCTATCGATCGGGGAAGAGTGGTGGCGTCAAGCAAGCGTCGTGAGACGTCGTATGTTTGTTGTGAGGACGAGAGACTGGAAAGCGAGTCGGGAAATGTCGAAGACGAAAATTGACGTCGGGAGCTTCTTTTGGGCGCGCGACACAGAAACCGGCCGCCGCTTTAACCCACCGAGGCCCCCTACCCTCCCTCCCCTATATTTGCGCTTTGGGCCTTGGCCGCCTTGCTCGTCTTTCCCATTGCAGTGGTGGGCGGCATATATTTTTTTTTTCTCATTAAAGGTATTTGACTCGTTGGATGTGTGCCCAGTCGCCGAATGATTGACGGTTTTGAGCGTTGCCAACAATGGGAATCTAGTGAGACATGTTTCGGTGGTCATCGACTTCAACTTTGTTTAAAGGTATGCGTGGATATACTGCAGATGTCAAAGCTGGGTGTACAAAGAAAATCATTGGGATTGCATATAGAAGCCAGTCTTTTCCACCATTTCCTACAGAAGACTTCATTGGCCTGCATTTGAAGAGTACCCTCCGAAGCTCTGGTTTGAGGATATCATGACATTCGGCCCCCATTGAAAATGTGTGAATGGCCAGAGTAGAAACTCAAGACCATATACGGAGTACACAGGAAGTAGTACTGACGCTCAACCAAAGGAGCAACTCCCTCCCCGACGCCTACAAGCAAAAAATAAACGCTCTTTATCCCCCAGCGTTCTATTCATACATGCTCACCAAACACGCTCAAACCGTTATCAGACACACAGGTCCCGTCGCCAAGATGGCAACTCCCCGTACCATCGCGACAAGCCCCCGGCAGACATCTCTAAAAGCGGCATCAGACCCGGTAAAACGCTTGGGAAGAAACCGGAAGGGGGTCTCTTCGCCTTCTTCCGTCCCGCGGGAACGAGAGCTGCTTCTCTGGCCCCCGGGGTTTTGGAGGTTTCCACAGCGTTGGAAAAGGCCACGCCGCCATTGGCCAATTGGAGCAGACCCGCGGAGATACGTACCGCCTCGCGGCAGGGGGTTTCGGCTTCAGCAACCAGTCACCGTCCCGTCACTCCCCTCCGAGGGACCCGTACTCCAGTGTATCCGTACATATATCGTAGTAGCTAGCTAGCTAGCTAGCTAGCTAGCTATCCAAGAACGGATGCCAGTTCGTGTCCGTCCGTACGACGGCCGGGGGGGCCTAATCATGTGTAAGTGATTTTGACTGTGTGTCAGTATCACTTCGTCCCGCGGGTGGAGTTTGAAATCTCGTTTGGTCTTTTTTTCCTTTTCTTTTCTTTTCTTTTCTTTTCTTTTCTTTTCTTTTCTTTTCTTTTCTTTTCTTTTCTTTTCTTTTCTTTTCTTTTCTTTTCTTTTCTTTTCTTTTCTTTTCTTTTCTTTTTCGTCTTCCTTTTTCGAGGTTCCCAAAGTGTTAGTCAGCATGCCTCGGCTGCGAGGACGTGATGTGCTGAGCTAAGCAGCTAAAGTCCGCACCCGGAACCTCTCGAATTTCGCTACCAAGACGAGAAAAAAGAAAAGTGACAGTGTGGCCCAAGCTCCTAGTTTTTTTCTTTTCTTCTTGGAATGCGACACTGCAAGAAATTGAAGGCACCGAGAGCTTTTCAAGAGTGTGGATCAAGAGGTCCAAAATCCCTAACCCCGGCATCAAAAAGCAATGGCCGCCAAGGGCCAGCGCGCAGAGAGCAGCGGTGGCGGCGTGCGCGCCGCGTACCTGACGCTCTACAACGCCCTTTTCGCCTCCCTCTGGGCCTCCGTCCTCTTCACCGCTGCCGCCGCCGTGTCGAACGGCGGCGGCGCACCCGCCGTCTATGAAGCCGCCGAGGCCCGCTCGCGATGGGTGCAGACCCTCACCCTCGTCGAAGTCGTGCACTCCGCCCTCGGTGAGACCTACCCACTGCGCGTGGCGCCCGTCCGGAGCCGGACTCGGGCCCGGACTTGATATGAGACGGGGAGAGAGAGAGAGAGAGAGACAGAGAGACAGAGAGACAGGCCGTCCGAGACACAAACCCGCTAACACCCCGGAACCGCCCGCCCCAGGCCTTGTCAGGTCCCCCGTCGGCACCACCGCCCTCCAGGTCGTCGCCCGCACCATCATCGTCTGGATGGTCTGCTACAGCTTCCCCGCCACCACCGCCACCTCCGCCGCCTACGTCTCCCTGCTGCTGTCGTGGGCCGCCGCCGACGCCCTCCGCTACGCCTACCTGGCCCTGAACCTCCACGGCAAGGCCCCCGCTGCCCTCGTCTGGCTGCGGTGAGTCCCCCTCAAATCCCTTCACTTTCTGGTTGGTCCCGGTGAGGGGGGGGAAGGAGGAAGAAGAGGGCAAAGAAAGCTGACAAAAAAACCGTTGCCTCAGCTACACCATGTTCTACCCCCTCTACCCCGTCGGCATCGCCTCCGAGTTCTGGCTGCTGTACCTCGCCGTCGAGCCCGCCCGACGCGTCAGCGCCGCCCTGCCTCCCGTCTTCTACTTCTGCCTCTGTCTCTACGTCCCAGGTATGCGCGCGCCCGCACCCACGCCCTTTCTCCCTCTGGCAGAAGCTGACCGCCCCCTCCCCTCCCCGTAGGATCGTACATCATGTACACTTACATGATCAAGCAGCGCAGGAAGATGCTGTCGAAGCCGGGCAAGTCGCAATAGCGGCGGGTTTGATGCGTCCGGATGGGACGACGGGCCACACGAGAGGGGGGCAACCAAGCCCCGCCGCATGAATCGAGTCGGGATTTATTTTGTTCGAGAGCTGGGGCCGGGCCTGGCCTCGAATGTCGGCGACGTGAGGCTTTTCCCTTTATTAGAAGAGAGTTGACGCGCTGGGGGGGGGGAACACCTTCCTCGTAGCTGGTCATCGTCAGCCCGTCTAGCTTTGACGGGAGAGACTTTCCCATCAGATGCCGCCGCTCGATAGGTTCGAGTGACGACCTTTCAGGGTCCAATACATCAGAGCCAGCCCGACCGAGGCGCTGTATTAGCTAGCCAGGTCGATTTGCGTTCTGTTTGCCTTAAGTCGGCCAACTATAGGCATTCGGGTTCCTCCCATATCGTCTAGGAGGAGAAAATAAAAGGGGAGGGTGAGTAGCGTCGCGGAGCGTGGAGAAAACGCGGGAATTTGCCCCAAGAAAACAATCAACTCCGATAAAACTATTACAAACGGCCCCCCTCAGCCAACAGATATACTCCAGGGGAGGAGATTGGGGGGGCGGCGATTATTAGTTGTACAAATCGTCGTCATCCTCCGCGTGCTTCTGCTTGGACGCGTGGGGGCTCGTCACCCTGATGCCGTTCTCCAGCCTCGCCAGGCTCATCTCGTAGCCCTTGTGGTCGCACCACTTGGACACCATCTTGACCGCCGTCTTGATCTCGCGCCCGTTCAGCTGCCACTGCCCCAGCTCCTTGATGTCCTCGTCCGAGAGCGGGACCAGCCCGTCCGCCTTCTCGCCACCCCCCGCGGCGGCGGCGGCGGCGGCGGTAGCCGGCGGCAGCCTGCCCAGGAACTTGCGCCAGATGAGCCCGCGCGCGTCCGGGCTCAGCGCCTTGAACAGCAGGTGCAGGCTCACGCGGCTGCGGAACGCCGTGTCGATGGTGTTGTACAGGTTCGTCGTCAGGAAGATGATGCCGCGGAAGTACTCGAGCTCGCGCAGGAAGATGGACACGAGCTCGTTGCGCGCAATGTCGTTGGGGTTGCGCTCGGCCATGAAGACGTCGGCCTCGTCCAGCAGCACGACGGCGTCCCACTCGGTCGCCATCTCGAACACCCGCTTCACCTTCTCCCCCAGCGTCGACGGGTTGATGCCCAAGTCCTCGGCCTGCAGGTAGAACAGCGGCCGGTGCGTCCGGTCCGCCACCGCCTCCGCCGTGAGCGTCTTGCCGGTCCCCGGCGGGCCGCTGAGGAGGATGATGAGCCCCTGCCCCTTGCCCACGATGACGTCTTCCATCGCGCTCCTGCCGCCGCGGCCGTGGTTCTCCACGAACGACAGCACGAGGTCCTTTTGCTGCTCGTCGTAGACCAGGTGGTCGTAGGCCGTGTCGTTCCACACAATCGGTGCAATGTCTTCCACGTAAAAGGCCACTGTTCATGTCAGTAACAACACCAGTGCCGATTGAACGAGAGGGGGAGGGGCGAACCACTCACGCCAGACCTTGTTCTTCAAAGCGAAACCTTCAATCAGGGGAGACATGAAGACCAAGTCATCCTCCCGCGCGAGCATCTCCTCCTTGTTCCTCCGCTGCTCCTTCGCGCCGAGATGCCTGCCGCTGCCAGTCTCTGCCTTGATGGGTTCGGCGTCTTTCGTCTCGTCAGCGCCCTCGTTGGAAAAACAGATTTCTTCACGAGAGACGACGCGGTTCCGCCGCGTGCTCGCGTCGTCCTGTTCTCTCTTGCCCCGGGCGCGCTCGTACTTGTTGAACCCCACAACGTCGACGAGGATCCTGCCCTCCACGTTATACCTGCTCTTCTCGCCCACCGCGACGCCGGCGTAGGTGCAGTACGTCAGCCCCTGGAAGTCGAGGACCCTGGTGCCCCGGGCGAGCGTCCGCCGCAGCATGCCTTCCTTGTCCTCGTGGAACTGCAGGGGGTAGTGGTCGAGGTCGCGGATCGGCCTGTTGCCGGCGAACTTTGGGATCTGGAGCTTGTGGTCGGCCCAGACGAAGCTCTCGCCGTTGAAGGTGAGGATCTTGCAGTTGATACTCAGTAACACGGTGCCCTCGACCCTCTCGTAGGCCGTGTCCTTCACCTTGCACAGCATCTCCGTGTTGCAGGCGCTGCTGTAGACGACGGAGCTTCTCGGGAAGTAGGTCCAGGCCATCTTGAAGTTGATGAGACAGCTCGACTGCAGTTTCCGCTTCTTCTCGCGGGTCTCGCCGAGCACGTCGTCCAGAGTGCGGACGAGGAGCTGCAGATAGCCCTTGAGCGAGCTGTCGTCGGTGGTCCTGTACAAGTCCAGGATGTCGTCGTAGCAGAAGAACAAGGGACGGAAGGGGGCCTCGAAGGTTGCGGTGTCGTTGGGGTCTATGTGGAAATCCTCCTTCTTGAGTATCGGCTCCAGGGCGGCGACGAGGGTCGGATTCTGGATGCTGATTTGGTGGTAGGCCAAGGAGAAGCGGCCGCCGATGATGGGCTTGTCGAGGTCCTTGATCTTGTAGACCTTGATGGCGGGACGGTCCTGGCTCTCGGCGGCCTTCTTGCTCATTTGCTTGGGGGGAAGTCGACCCAGTCGTAGATGCCTCCGCAGCTGTTCTTGCCTTCGTAGAGGGTCTTGACGGTGGCATCGACGCCGAACGTCGAGTTCTTGGCCGGCTGCTTCTTGGGGTCCTCGTCCGAGAGGCTAGCCTCGATGTCCTGGATGGGCCGGCCGGCGTCCTCCTTGCGGGGCAGTAGTCTGCAACGCATCTGCCAGGCCTTTTCGGAGAGCACCTCCCTGTCAAGGACGTCGGTGATACGCATCGTGGCAGCCCACTATTTCGAGACGACTCGGAATTGTTACTGGGAAGCTTGATATGAGGACGAGAAGATGAAATGGATCGAGATTGAATCAAGCACGAAAGCAAACAAGAGACGAAGAGATGCTCATATGTAGATGTCTGTTCAATAAGCCTGAATCGGCAGCAGCCTTGTTTATGCTGCATGCAATGCCGAAGCCACGGCGGCTGCGCCAGCTTACAGGACTCGGGACAGGACGCGCTGGTATGCGACCCGTGAGGCAACCGAGGCGGAATGTCCTAGTGGCTTTCCTAGGTTCATCGTAAACGCAGGACTCAGCCCCGGATGCCGGTGAGTCAAAAGCGACCAAAGAGCAAGCCACGCACGCCATGGCGGCCGGGGCAGCGTGGCCGGCTGTCAGTCAGGTTGCACAATGACAGCTGGTCAAGGACCATAGGTAGGGATTCGAGTCCAGACAGGGCCAGACTCGATTTCGAGCATGGTTCGGCGTCCTTTTCCTCGTTCCATGGGGAGGTGGTCTAGGCAGCGAGGGATGGATATCGCGAGGACGATGGAAGAATGACAAAGTGACAAAGTGACCAAAGCCCCAACGTTCCTGCCGGCAGGTAGCACGGACTAATGCACGGGCCATATATAGTGGGTCCGGTCGCGGCCTCGCGTAACGGACTGAACCATTCGTAGCTGACTA